GCGCACCGTCAGTTATATTCATAATTTTACAGTCAGAATAAAAACATGACTGGTGGGGTTTGTGGGCACAATGATTAAGCGAGGTCAGTTATATTCATAATTTTACAGTCAGAATAAAAACATGACTGGTGGGGTTTGTGGGCACAATGGATTAAGCGAGAAAGACAGCATGATAGTCAGTAGGAATTATCGGACATAGACACTAGAATTTGAATCGAACAAATCAAGTGAGAGCAAAACAAGTGGTCTCCTACCAGACACATAATGAGATAACTGCAAATAGTGGAAAACGAGGAACCATACCAAAAATCTGGTGAAGCAGCAGAGTTGGCGTAGTGCAGCCGGTCAATATGAACTGAATCTTAAAACCACCGATGAAGACACATTGCCTTGGACTGTTGGGCTTATGGCCAGGGCCATAAAAAGTGTACGTTGGGGCTCCTTAGTCGCACAATGCTCCTAGCTGCGAAACCTTTGCAAACAAAATTGAACTGTTTATCCAAAAATGTTGCAGTTGGCTGCGCATGTGCCCAAATCAGAAACTACCATAATCTACCTTTGTATTTTTGCAGGTCACCAAGTTATATTGTCCATCGAAGCACTTATGCCTCTTGCGGGAAAATTGCGACGAAATACCTTACTACCAGCACTGGAACCCCGGTATGCTTATGTAGGGATCAGAAGCTTGGACTGAACTTAATCGCCTGCCTGGTTTTATACATCAGGGACCCGTCGTAGCTTTTGAAAATTCCATTCCGTTGTGCGAATACTGGGCGACCGTAAGTGGGATGAAGTAGAGGAATCAGCAGTAGTCACAGATAGTAACAGGAATATCAGGGTCACGAGCTACATTGAAACTTTACAGATTCACTAGTGTCGCTGTTGCAGTGGAGTCAGGTGTAAAAATTCAATGGGTAGGAGAGCTGATGCTAACGGGTAAGGCGGAACGCGAACAGAAAATGACTGACATTTTGAGGAGCATAGAACGAAAGTCAACCAGATGTTAACATCCGAACGGAAAGTTTAGTAGATTAGAGTGGAGGCACCCCGGAGGCGGCTAGGGCTAGATGGAGCTAGGGGAAGGAATGAGCTAGAAGACCGCCAGACTGGATGTGGCAGTGCAACGCCATCTTTGTACTGGTATACCTTGTTTTCCAGACATCCCCATAACGAATGTCACAGTTGGCGTTCTGTTGTGGGAACTGTCCGCCATGGCTTTCTAGCCACCACTTTCGCCCTGGCACCCCCAAACACATAATAGTTCGACCCCGAAAGATGTCTGCAGTTTAGCCACTCGGTAACACCAGATAGCTACAAGGGTGCGTACGCCTCAGATAATAATAAAAAATAATAATAATGTTTATTCCCAACTTGCAGGTGGAATACTTTCGGTAACCGTAAACCCACGCCTGCCCTTCTGACCCAGCTTCATGGACGGTTATGAAACTAGCTATAAACTTGGTGGCGCAAAACGTGGCTAACGATCTCCTCTCATTTTCGGATGTGGCCACATACCGTCATTCCCTACCACCTCCAAGAGAACACTAACAATATTTTCGAAATACTGGCAGTGTCATAACACTGCGGTGGTTAAAATTCTAACAATTCCTGCCTGGCATTGCAACCCGCAGCCTGATGGCAGCGTCCTCAACGGCTCCAGTAATATCCTCAATCCATGCTGGTCTCAATTTGTGACCATTCAATTGAGAATCATAAATATCCTCAAAACCCACACTGATTCACCCAAGATGTTCATATACGAGGCACAGTTATGGCGTCGCGATGACATGACCATGATCGCCGTATCAAGTCCAACATATCGCTCAATATATTTCCACTATTTCCCAACGGAAAGGCCCTCCCAGTCCGCTGAATTTGTGCCAAAACTCTGTAGTGTTTACCAACTTAATTTACTGTCTGCTCACACTGCCCACAAATCAACTAATTTCTTCAAGGGCGTGTCAAGGAGGCACTATACCGGTGGGAATAAAAGCTTGATCTGCACCCGATAAAGCGTGTAATGAATAGCATAAAAAGTTCGAGTTACCACATTGGCTGCGACACATTCCTTCTCTTTGTTCGGCGGAATGCCTGCTTAAAAGTTAGGGAAGGCTTCCCAATATAGGTTGCGAAAGTTTGCTCAATTCTGGGTTTGCGCAGGCATATAGATCTTAGCTATTGTTCATGCAAACTCAAAATATTTCCAGATCAAGTACAAGAGGAAACGCATGAAGAAACCCTTACTACGAAAACATCTCCCACCGTCTTCAAAGAGACATCATGTTGAGTTGAGCTCCAAATGGGACCGTGAGTGTGTCTAAGTGACTCATGGTAAAACCTCATATGTCTGGAGTATTTTGAAGTCTCGATTAAATATCACCGAGTGCTGAAAGATTAAGTAAAATTTTCCTTCACCGAAACCATGATTTCAGGGAACTTTCGTGTGCACGTCTAGAAATCGGTTTTAATTTCACTACATATACGCGGACAGAAACAGCCACATTACTAGCCAGTCCTGGAGACGCGCCGAATTCAATAGATATTTCGGCCTTGATGGAGATGATTTGAACTGGACTTGTGTTTATAAGCTTCTAGTAATCATACGGCAGGTGAACAAGCGCTCAGTAGGGCAGCCACCCAGAGAAACCGCGGGAATAGCATACGGTCAGTTCGTCCAGGCCTAGGAACGAGCAGTCGAGACGCAGCTGCAACCTGATCGGTTGGTAAGTTCGCACCTTAAACTTCGAACTGTCATGTGTTTTGGGACAGTTCTGTGCCCATTTTTGTAGAGCGACTAAATCACACCACTTCGGATTGTACGAAACTCAACTGACTGGCTTATGTTTGTTCCGGCTTTAGGATGGTGCAGCGCACAAAAGCTTCTCTCTACCTATGATGAGACATCACCCAAATGTAAACGCAACCGCGACTGATTCAACCCAAGGGTGTATCACTGATTTTTTCGCGGTCTCAGAATGTCGCCGAGAATAGCAAATAGCGAAGTTATAATTTGCGAAGACTTTCCGTGATTGCTCCGAGGATATTCACCGAGTCAACCACGTTCTCGAAAATGCGGTAACTAACCCCACTATTCGTAGGATTAATTAGCTCAAACTCACCCAGACGAACATATAAAAGATCAAACGAAACCGGTAGCGTGATAACTCTAAATTCGCTTGATCATACTCTCCCTGCCCGATCAAACGGAAAGGCCTAGATTGTCTTCAATCTACCTCTACACAAGATGAACGTATTTGAATGAAAATGAACCACGCTCGCACCCATACACAAACGGGACTAGGCACGATCCCAGTTAAGGAGAGTCCATCGTTTTGCCGTGTGAAAGTACGTGATTACAAACTGGTAATGTAATGTAAGACAGCAAGGAACCCTCCGGTGACATTGTTCTTTCACGAAATCTCTAAACTTCTTTGATTTGGTGATTAGAAAAATGGCAAGGAAACCCAAAATTTCGTAAATTCGACCAAAATTAATTTTTCTAGTTTTTGAAGCTAGAAGCATGTATTTGAACGGTCTGGTCATGTCATGGGCCGATGAATACCTGCTGGAGGCAAAACTTCAGGTCTTGCGTGTGGACGCCCCAAACTACGCCGCTTTGGCAGGGATTCCGCGGGGATTCCACGGCGAGCACCTTGGATTCTTGGTCATTACTCGCTAATCCGTGAGACATCTATTAAGGAAATATTGCTCACCTCCGAATTCTTCGACACGAGCATTTCTAACTGGGTATTTCAATTTTTAGACCCAACAGGCAGACAAAAGTTGGTGAAACTCTCATCCTGACCATGAGGCCGTCAACAACCCCACCCCCCAAGTTGCCGACACTTTCACGGATTCACGGGTTGATACGCAGGATTGAGGCTTTTGCTCAAGTTTCCCGTGTTGGTTTTGTTTTTGTTGCTCAGCGGCTGTCGTTTGCCTGGATGGCACAGGTGAAAAGGGGTGTATCATTGCTCTTTATGTTCTCATTGCGGGCATGATTGCCAGCGCGAGGATTCGCATAAATAAATGCCTATTGGTGTTTTGAACTGGGTTCGAGAACGAGCTCGGACAACGGTCAGAGTAAGGTCATTCCATGTAGCCACTCCCCGAAATGAGAAAAAAATGCCTGATGAATATTTGCGCTCTGAGCTTGAAATTCATCTCTCCCTACCCCCGCAGTGTGCTCGCTGGGTCAACGGTGTGTAGCGGACTAGGACCTTATCAACGTGTTCGGATAAATTAACAGGCAAAGTAACCAATACAAAATCACAATAGGAAAAGAATGAGTAGTCAAATGGAGACTTACGAATGTGTAGGTCCAATAGTCCACTACACCGATCCAAGTGCAGTAACTGGCTGTGAAACGAAATATTCACTTGTCGGAATTTCCCACAGATGGTTCCGCGTGCGTGATATGTTCCACGGTAGGAAAATTATTCACGGCTAAAAAATGTCACAGGTATTTATTGTGACGTTCAACAGCTGACACAGGCAGAGATTTGGTCCCACAGGAAGGAAGAATGGTAAATGTGACAACGGATTACAGACACTACAGGTGAAAACCCGTTTGCCAAACTTTTTGCAAACGGGGCATAAGTAAGGATTAGGTCCCCTCGGAGGCGAACTGGTATGACGATATTTTCCGCAGCTTATTTCTCGGTCCACGCCTTCTGTGTCAGCGTCCCGGTAAAAAACTTATCAAATTTGCATAATAATAGTAGATTTCTTCCCCGAATTGTAGGGAACATAACAATCGAGGCATGGCTGGGTATATTAACGTATATTGACGCCCAGGTCCAGAGTGCATAAAATGTATGCCTGACAACATTCTGGATTTTTGGCGCATTCTGGCCATTGGCAACTGGCATCAGGGGAACAATGTGTCATGATTAGCTGCTCGGTCCTAGCTTTCGACCAATCACAGCTCCACATGATATCAGACGGAAGAGAACCGAATTTTTGGCCAATCGTGCCCGGGTTATGCTGCTCGGCCGTAGCGGCGTTTGACTGCGAGCAATAAGGTGGCATCTGTGAGGAACTCCGTATAACTAACGTACTGTGATTGCCTTCCACCGCTCATCCAACCGCGTGACCACGATAAGGTGAGAACAGCCATAGAATCGTATTAACGATGGAAGAATTCAGCCCTGTTACCACACCATCTTATGCGATATTAGTTGCGAGTTTAATAACCGATGCTAGAACTACTAACATGCATCCACTAGAACAGAGCTGCAAGCGTCTGTCTGTTAACCTGATTCTTTCAAACGGCTGAAAACAACCCCTTTAAGCCTTAGCGAACAGTTTCCTGACCAGATGCGGTTCACGCTCATAGAAGAGACAGACCAAGATTATCTGCCACATAAAACATTGTCCTGTAGGACATAGTTCAAGAAAGTGCAAGGAGCCAGCTAATTGTGCCTGGGAATCAATCGCCAAAGTATTGGAGCGCTCCTCAGCACTGTTTCCACTACCAAAGCTTTTCGCCCCCCACCTGACAGGTTGGATAAAGAGTCGAACCAGGAATTACATGGAGATGCACTGCTGTACTTTGAGGCACAGTGTGATGCCTCCTGGAATGATCAGGTGGCTCTGAGGGAATTGCACATCATTGGAGCATGCAGGCAAGAGAGAATCACATTCTCCCCTCACACCTCGCTTTGCGCTGACCTCCAATCCTATGTACAAAAGTGACGCTTGGAATTCATTTCCCTGGCATACGCAACTTCTTCATAAACTCAGACTGCCTTGCGGTCAGGTTTATGAACCGAAGGGCTTGGTTGAGGACCCTAATCCTCCTTCTGTCTAGGTATAGGTGGCCTGGCACTATCCCAGCCCACGTACAACCGCAGCACTTACAACTAACAATACTCTCATGGCATATTGCCATCGCGTGGTTTTATCAGCCGGGTTGCCTTACTTGCGGCATACGGCAGGACGGGCAAGCGAAGACATGCTACTGCCGATTCTCCCTTCTTACACTGTCACGTTTTCCATGTACCGTACCCCATCCAAATTTGAACACTACGCAGCTCTCAGCATTAGGACTGGTCGTTTTTCTCGCTGTGCATCACACTCAGCTGCAGCTTCTGTAAGTCCGAATTTGGAAACAACTCTAAGCACTTCAAAGTCTGTTTTCAAACCCCGAAAGCCTGTCTACTTAGCTGTCTTAAATTTCCGCACACTGAAGCAAGCAGGACGACAGATGCCTCTTGCTCGTACACCGGATCCCCTCCGCATTGAGGTTTGCCGTCAGAAAGCAGGATACATAAAGCAAGTACAGTGGTTGAGTTGGCTGTCTCTTCGCTCTCTACTAGGTTCCGTCTGCGCACCTTTGGTGGTGTGGAGGACGCTAAACTAGATATACTAGGGTGGGTATCGTATTGAGAGCAAGTCCGAAGTCTCGAACAAAGAAGAACGCGTCGACTGAACGCGGCTGAATACTTCGAACAACAACTGTCATGGCCACCAGCCGGCACCCATCTAGAGCCCACATGTGAAGTAGAACCCTGGACGGTGAGCGTTGAACCACTTACGGCCTCGGAGGTTTATGACTGCATATGTTCTCTCAAGCGCCACCGAACTCCCGGTCCGGATGACCTTCCACCCGCACTGTTCAAATACGGCGGTGAAGTCCTCAGTCAGCGCTTTTCCGATCTGTTTGCTTGCATTTGAGAAAAGGAGTCTGTCCCAGACAACTGGGGAGAATCGGTGATAGTGCCCGTTTTCAAAAAAAGGGGCGCGTAGTGAGTGCGGTAACCACAGGGGGATCAGCTTGACCCCGGTCGTAACGAGACTGTTGGCGTCAATTGTGCTTCGTCGCCTTACGGTGGTTCGTGAGACACTGACTCGAGAGCAGCAAGCGGGATTTCGGCCTGGTAGGGGTTGTGTTGACCAAATCTTCACACTGCGTCAGGTGAACAACGCTAGAACAACGCCATACGTATAAGCGACCCACGATTCTAGTATTCCTGGATTTCCGAGGCGCATTCGACTCGGTTGATCGGTCTGTTCTTCTTGAGACGCTTGCCCACCAGGGAATGCCCCGGAAGTTTGTAAACATAATACGTTCTTTGTATTCTCAGACTTCCGGACGTGTGAGTGTACGGAGAGCTCTCCAAAAGCTTCCGCACACAAAGCGGTGTCCGCAGGGATGCCCACTCTCTCCATTCCTTTTTAACTTTGTGATCGATGAAATAATGAGACGAACGCTGGAGGGTCTCCAAAACCCTGGTATGCAAATAGCCTGTGAAGAAAACCTTGTCGATCTGGAATATGCAGACGACATTGTTCTCATGCCGCCATGCCACCCAAACGGACCACGAGAACTGGGATACTGTCAGGTTGCCCAAGCCTAGACAGGAGAGGTCAAGAGGCACAGTTCAGGTTCGAAACACGGACCTTCCGGTGGGTAAATTCGCGCTCTAAGCACTTGATCCATCTCGCATCCAGGTATCGGAATATATATAGGAACGTGGCTTTGCTGGAGGCCGAGTGGCTGCAACAACGACTGCACCCTCGGACATCACCCGACACCAGGTGAAACTCCGTGCAGTCCATCTCGCATCCAGGTATCGGATCTCATATAGGAACGTGGCTTTGCTGGAGGCCGGGTGGCTGCAACAACGACTGCACCCTCGGACATCACCCGACACCAGGTGAAACTGACTCCGTGCAGACCGAGAAGCTTGGTTGACCCGGAAGGCCGAAGAAGTGGATGATGCAAGAAATACCGGAAACATCCACAAGCTGTTCTTGATTCGTTCTACTGGTCCTCGAAAACCTCTTGTCGGCGAATTTATCAGGGACGAAAACGGCTCCCTGTTATCCAGAAAATCTGAACGTTTGGACCGTTGATCACCTGGCACCTCCTATTCAGAATCCTGACCTTCATTAGAAAGGTGTGAATATAGTGCCCCCTTCAACTTCAGAAGTGTCCGAGTGTATATTTCCACTAAAGCATTGTAGTCCTCCTCGTCCTGACAGCCTTCCATCTGCTCTTTTTAAGGATGGTACTGGGTTTCTCAGCCAGTGCCTGTCTAACCTCTTCGGGTCTATCTGAGAGCAAGAGACCGTCCCAGACAACTGGAATGAATCGACAATGGTGCTCGTTTTCAAAAAGGATACCGGCAGTTAATGTAGTGACAAGGCTTCTGGTATCACTGGTTGTTCGTCATCTAACGGTGGCACGCGAACCCTTGACTCGTGAGAATCAAGAGGGATTTTGACCGATTGGAGGCTTCGTTGGCCACATCCCCGTAGTCCATCATGTGTCAGAGTAAGGCCACATGTACAGACGTCCCACAATGTTGGTGTTCCTTGACTTAAAGTCTGCGTTCGATTTTGTCTATCGGTCAGTGCTGTTTACTGCACTTGCTCAGCAGGCTATCCCTATATCCATGCACTTCTGGGTGTCTGAGTGAATGGTTAGCTCTCCAAAAGCTTCCCTGTAAAAAAGTGGTTTCCGACAAAGATGTCCACTCTCTCCACTGCTCTTCAATTTAGTCATTGATGAAATGATGAGCCGAACGCTGAAAGGTCTTCAAAACTCCGGTGTTTAAATCGTTGCCGGTGAGAACCTTGTCGATATGGAGTATACAGATGTCATCTTTGATCACCAAGGCGAAGCACATTCTCTTTTTGCCTCGCCCTCGGATCAGGCAAGCCCTCATGGTCAACTGCATCAGGCTGAGTCGTTGGCTCCGGACAGGGCCCTCAGGAAAATATTAGCACCTGTTGCCTCTTGGGTCAAATTGGGAAGCCAGAGGCTACGGGCTACCCCACATTCTCATGCTGTTTTGTGGGTCAGACTTTTGAGTCAAGGTGAATCTGAACAAGGTCCAAAACAGCTGTTTATCCACAGTTCACACTGGGTGTTATGTGGTCTAAAAGCCTTCCGCGTAATCCCATCAGTTTACGTATTGTGTCTGTACGGGAGTTGAGTGAGCTCTGCTTCATTGGTTCTTATGAACGGCCAACTGTGTGCAATCAGACTGGCTGGGTCCCTACGAACTTTCAAGGACGCGCTTTTGGAGACGTTTCGAGGTGCATGCGAATGGCCAGTTGCACGGATATCACTGTTCCAACTGGCGATTTGAGTGTCCTACTGGGGAGATTCGATACGGGCGAAAGCGGCGTCAGCAGAAGGTGTGGCTGAGGTGCTATAGGAACCGGTAACACCGGCCGTCGCTTTTTACAACTGTGCGCTGTTCATCATCTATTTACCGCAAGCACATACTTTCAGCACAATTGCGGACATCTCATTACCTGGAGCCCTTGAAACTGTAAGCAGTCGGGCAATTATTTATGGATCGATTGATTTTATTGACTTGTTCGTTTTGCTCGTTTTCCAGCAGTTTCCCACCAATTTACCAGCTCGCGCCTGCAATGCGCAGCTACTTNCCCCCCCCCCAAATCATCGGTGAACGAAACTGCGGCAGCTGCAACCACTGTACGACGAGTACGCGGTTACTACAGCTGACAATGATGATGATGATGACGAACTGTCTAGGTGACTTGCGGACGCGGAACAAACTAGTCAGCCAGTTGACGACTGGTTCGAATTATGGAGCGTTTTAGTTAAGCGTTTCAGTACCCGCTACCATGCCGTGCAAAGGAAGCACGACGACGGAGATACTGTCAGGTTGCCCAAGCCTAAACATGGTCAGTCGAGATCCAGAGGTTGGATTCGAACCATGAACCTCTCGATCAGTAAGCTCGCACTTAACCACGATCTACATCGAGCGTTGGACTGTCCGTTCGGAAACGAGTCCGTGACCCAAGTGGGATCTCACAGCGGTTCATGACCCTGATCACGGTGGGGAAGGTGAGCCCACTTGGACGACAATACAATTCAGCAAGAAGATCTCCGAAACGACGTGTGATTCACAGTCTCCTGTCTAACCGGGGGAAGGTGCGACTAAGGAGAGAAACGAAAAAGGCGGCGGTGATTGAAAATAGTCGGACTCTTCCAGCTTATCCACGAAATAGCTGAGTGTTTGAGGCGCAAACGTACTCACCGTGGTTTTAGCTCAACCTCTGCTTAGACTGCTCCTGTCCAGACTTGGGCAGTTTGACAGTACCTCAGTCCTCATACTTAGTCCGGGTAGCATAGCAGCTACGTGTAGAAATGGTGCCACAACCGAACGATATCCCCAACACCTGACCAAGAAAGCTGCATACCAATGAAGTCGTTACACAAAGAGACAGCTTGAAAGCTCATTCTAATTCCCACCGCCTGCCTCAGTAAGCGGAGAACGTTGAAGGATAATTTACTTGTCTGAACTACCCAGTATAACGTATAACGCATCACCAGCTTTACAAGCGAACGTGGATGGCCCGGTCCCAACGCGGGCTGAAATCAAAAGAGGACTCAGACTTTTGAAGCGCAACAACCCCACTCCCCGGTTCTGACTGCCTTTCACCTGCATTCTTTAGGGATCAGTCGATCAGTCATAGTACCCTTTCGGTGCATAGCTTCCATACCACTACAAGGAAGTTCGAGGGCTGATATACTGTCAGATTGGTCAGTAACGGGTTTTGAGTCTTAACTACTGAGCTATCCCAAGCTCGTTGTTCGGGGATGGATGAGGAGGACTTGTTCGCCGTCCGAAAAGACTCATGCGAAGCATTTGTAGGGCAAATAAAGTGCAAGAGGATGTCGGACCTGCTTGGAGTGTGAGAATCAGTTTAGTTTCCTAGGTTGCTCACATGCATCATCATACAAAGGCTTACTGGCATTCATGAGAACACATTCTTGAAAGCCACTCGAGGCTCCGTCAGGGTTTTGGATGCACTGACTACATCTTCACCTTACAACGACTTTCGAACACCGCTACACATATAGAGGGCAGACAAGTGTTATCTTTGACCTAAGAGGAGTGATCGATGTAGTCTATTGCGCTGCTTTGTGGCGGTGTCTGTTCTTCAAAGGTATACCGAACATTTTTGTCAAACTCCAACTCTCGTGTGCGCTTGAATGTCTCATGGGTCCACCACCAAAAGTGGTGTCTAGCAATGCCCTTCAACTTCATTATATGGCTAATTATCGAAGAAGCGCTTGCTTTTTCTTCCACCATAGACGTTGAGCTTTTTTCGCAAGGTAGATCTGAAGCAAGTGAATAGTATGCTTTTTGGTTCAGCTTCCATCCGGATACCAACTCTAATAACCAATATAAATGACGGCGTGCGTTCTGGTATACGCTTTGCACCTTCAAAGTGCAAATTACTATTACAATACTGGATGAGTATACCACATGAGCTGGTCATGATATCAGAGCCAATAGAAATAGCGGGGAAATTCGCTTATCTGGGTAGCTGTATCACACCGGGCAACAAAGTATGCGCTTAATCAGTGAGACATACAGGCATCGCTCTAAACCTGCACTGACAGTCGGGTAGGCAGATTCGTGGACGTCAAGCTTGGTGCTGATTGTCTGGCGCAATAGCAAGGTATCTCGGACAATGGACTTCTAGCTGACACCTTGATCCTACTAAAGGCGTTGTACGCATGTGGTTTAGTGTCCACAGGCCCTTGATTGTTTCCACCATATTTGATGGCTATTCCTTCTGCCAGTTTTTCTTTGACTTCTTTGTTAATATGAGGTTAATGCTGAAACTTAATGACCAAAAGGTCCGTGGTTCGAACCCAACCTCTTCATCTCTACTGCCCCTATCTAGGGGCAGTAGGCTTGGGCAGCCTGGCAGTGTCTCAGTCACCGTGCTTATTTCGGGTGGTCTGGCAGTTAGTCACCAAAAGCGTCGCAGTTGGAGATGTTATTGTGAGCACGGGGACTCGCCGGTCGGTGTGTGACGCTTGCGGGAGTCAAAATTCTCAGTATTTTCAATTTTTAGAATTGAGTACATATACGGACCGAACTTTATGCAAATACAACTGTATAAATGACAGCCTAGTATGTAGCGTGGTTTTTTATCTGGTAGTATGTTCTAAAGTTGAGAACGAAGGCTGCTTTATGTTGGTTATCGGGTCCTCCTGCAGAGAGTCTTTGTCTTTTTATAGTTCATGAAGTTGTCATTGCCCCGGACTCCGGACCCCGAATCAGAGTCCATTGTTTTTTCACAATAGGTCAAAAAGTTTGCGGTCTTACGGCAGTGGAATTTTGACGTAGCTGGAATGTTGGCCTCATCTAATTGTTTTCCTCTTTTGTAAGCAGCTTACACCTGACAAAGGATGGATTTCAAGCGTCCCCTCGCTGGTGTTGCCACAATGTCTATGGTCCCTCTGCCTACCAAAAGGGCCAGATACGATACACCGTCGGCTCTGTTACCCTTTGGGGGAAACAACAGGACAGGCACACAAATCATATCCGCTGGCAAGCCAGGTAGCATCCCAAGGACTTCAAATTTACTGTCACCCAATATGTTGTTGAACGGTCATGACAGCGAAATCTACTGTGGAAAGTTCTCTTCTGATGGCACATTTTTGGTGAGTGCAGGCTTCGATAGACGAATTCTCATATGGGAGACGTACGGTGAATGTGAGAACATTTCAGTTATGACAGGTACGTGGATCGCTGATATCCCTCTGTATACTGTTTTTCAACCCCCTAATTGTACAATCATGGAGTTAGAGACAAGGATGTATTAATGTCGGCAGGGTATTTGTACAAAGTGAAGCAGTAAGAGTGCATCACGCTGTGGGAATAACGTTGACACTTTTATACATAGATCTCATAATTGTTTCAAGGGAAACTGGCTTTCCAGTTTGGGGACTGAGTGGTGAGCTGCATAAAGCCTTGTTACCCTTACAACAAATCAAGATTTCCATTGCTTGGAAGTGCTCTTGCATATACGTCACATTTGGTAATGTGGACGACTGTGTTCACCTGCCGTTGCCTTATGTGTCAACGGAGATGTAGCATAATTATTTTGCTTAAGAAGACCATTCAGTCTAAATTACACGATCCGGTGTAGCTTTGGGGCAGTGAAGGATAAAGATTATCAAAGATGACTAAAAGACGATAATCACTGACGAACAGGAACACGAAAGCTTCATTCCATGTAAACAACCGATTTGGAAACGTGATCAGAATATTTTTCCATTCTTCCTTTATGAAAGTTGATTTTCATTGAACACCGCACTTAAGGATCCAGGATAGACTAACCCGAACCTGACGGGTACTCTCTCTCTTTAAGAGTTGGATATAAAGTTCACATGGCATGTGTACTCCACCTTTCCATTGTATTCGTTTTTATGTGTCTAACGTTTCCCGGTTGTCTTTGTCGTGCCGGAAGCTCCCCTCTTTGAAACGTGAATTTCAAGTGGATGACTTTTTACTTCTAAACTAGGCATGGGTAGGTAACATTTTGGATTATCGTGTTCAGTGCACGAGGAAAATGCATTAGCTGATGGACTAGTTGAGACACGGACTAGCAAAACGGTAAGCAACTGTCATGATTTTTGTGTGCTTATTATTATATTTACCATATACACTCGTATGGCACCTTTGTATATACATTGCAGCTCATCTACACTTGTTCTCAGACAAGTAAAACGTTGCTTATCCTCCAAAGCCCGAGCTCTGTTCTAACTCGTTCTCGGACACATTATAAACGTCTCAATTTACTTGTATAGAAACAAGCGTGGATGAGCATGCACTAATTCACGCGACAGAGAACCGTACTTAACTTCACCCTAATCCTTATCATCAACTCGTTTCCTCTTACCGAAAGAAAGGTATATTTATAGCCTCATAGCTGAAGTACTTAGTTACTCTGCAGTTAAGCTCAGCAATTGGGGTTTTTGTATTCTAGGGCATGGGGGAGCAATTCTAGATGTCTCGCTGTCGTCGGATGACTCAATCATCTACACCGCCAGCTCGGACAAGTCTATTGCTCTGTGGGACACTGAAAGTGGACAAAGGATCAAGAAATTCCGTGGTCATCAGAATATCGTCAATGCGTGTGGAGTGGCTCGTCGTGGCCCGCAGATCATTTGCTCCGGTTCCGATGATGGTACTGTTCGTTTGTGGGACAGAAGACAAAAGACGCATGCGCAAAGTTTCCAGAATACTTATCAAGTATGTCATCAGCCAGGCATAAAGGTTTTGTGCATTCCTTTATATAGGCGTATTTTGTTTTGAATCCAAAGGCTACCAGGTGCTTCGTCACAATCGTTTATTCATTGCCGTGGTGAAACCGAAATTCAGGAAAGACGCTACTTCGGTACCTACCAAACAACGAAAGAAAACGAAGGAAAATTGCATCAGCTAATATAGCACGTGCTTCAAATGCCCTAGTTTCTTTTCAATGACTGCTGATGATTGCAGCCACGGAGAGAAAGGACCATTACCAGAGTAGAAGTACTGTTTTCATCTTGATTTGCCAAACGATCGAAAGCCCATTCATCGCCTGAGCTCCGTGGTTTACCGAAGACACAAATCTGGGGTATTCCCCGTACCAATCGTAGGCATGCCACTTCCCTCAAAACACGATGACTTGGTTGACGCTTCAAACCATTCCATTGAAAAATGGGCAAGTATAATGTTAAACAACCAATAAAACTAACGGAGGATTCGGTAACGATAAATATAGAAAGTTAACATGTGCTCAGAAGATGAACAATAGCTGTATATTCACATCTGGTTCTAAATCTATCGACTCTCGGTGCAGTTGATTTTTTTCGGACAATCACCAGGTCATCATTCCGGGGTAGATTATCAGAAGCTTGTGTACCATGCACACACAATGTACATTCTGAAGACAAATCGGTACGACAGTCTTAGGCGGTTTAATACGCTCATTTCTAGTGCTCATGTATCCGGTCGTTGTTTGCTCATTGAACCGTCCTATTTGGTTGGTTAATGACTACTGGCACTCTCCGAGGCCGTGAGGTTTGTTTAGCATTTCGGCAATGCCCATCCAAATGTCATTATGACCTGGTTTGGATTACCGATGACTGTCTGCTTGTGAGTTCTGAAGAGCACGACCTAACCCTAGGTAGCTGAGGGGTTAAGATGTGAAGATACCAACTGGAAAGTCCTTCCCAACCTCGGGATCTCGACTGCTCCCGCCTAGACTTGAACAACCTGGAGTTATCTCAGCCATCGCACTTCATTCGGGTAGAGACAGCTAGGCACCGAAAGGGTGTTACAACTGAGCAATTATTACAATTATTGAAGTCCGAACAGGTATTTCGAGAGCCCGAGAACCTTTTTAAAATAATCAGGAATCTAGGCCCCACGACAAGTGTGCCCACACTCCAGTGGATGGTGTAACTAACGCTCAGTTGTTAATTCACTCGCTTTCCACGATGCGTAAATATCGATTCGAATATCATGGGTCAAGTGAACTATGAGCAATTAGACTAAGTAAGTAATGGATGGAGATAGAAAGAGATGGCCATCCTAAACGCTTCATAAAATGTCACATCGAAGTGGGACCAAACCATTCTAACTGTGATAGTCTATCCAGAAGGCCAATATTCATAGAACTCCCGTTTGAGTTGGGGAACACCTGAACATTTAGTCTTAGTGCTGCGAAGGTCGCGTACGTTGGTGTAAAGATGCGACTTCTACACTTGTCTAAAGAGTGCCTGTACCAGGGAGGACGTTTGGGCTCAAGTCCCAACGTGGCCATACAGAACTTCGGATAGAGGCGGCTGACAACCGGTAGGTGTCTGAATGTCAGAACAAAACTTACCGGGTGCTAAACCAGTAGTTTCAACGCCTCAAAAGGCTGTTTTTCAACCTGTATTTTGTGATGAGTATGCTTCGTTTGTATGAGCGAGTGACCGATAAACGGTCAGCTTCCGGTACCTGAGAAATTCTAACACGCGCCGTTTACTTGGATTTTTGCTGGTAAATGCCCTTTGAAAAAGGCGAGCATATAAGTTCTTGTTCGGTTACAATATTTTCTGGTTTTCTGATTTTTATCACGTCAAAAGGTCGTCCACCAATTGTTCCATCTCACTTTCACTCCAGGTCCTCGCGGTCACTTTCAGTGATACCGCTGAAATTATCTTTTCCGGAGGCATTGACAACGTTGTGAAGGGGTGGGACCTGCGCAAGCTGGATGCATCTATGCTACTTACAGGCCACACGGATACAGTTACTGGTCTCTCAGTCAGCCCAGATGGGTCTTATTTGTTGTCCAACGCCATGGATAACACACTACGGATGTGGGATGTCCGGCCGTTTGCACCGGCGGAACGATGCTCTAAGGTGGGTTGAGTTGCTTTTTAATCCGACTGTCCTCGTACACCCTAGCAGCTAAACAGCGGAGTGCTGCATTCTTTCATTTCATCGAAACTGGGCAAGCTAGTCTCATGCAAAAGGTTGCCTTGACTTACTTGGAGTACTTTTTGGTCAACGCTGTACAGCGCTAGAAAAGAATGGAAGAACCCCACTCCATCAGATCGAATCACGTCTTTACGGCATTTATGATCAGTATAACTCATGTGTGCAATACATACGTGCTGCGGACTTTGAGGTGAAGCGGGGTCGGTAGAAGACGGTACCATGTAAATATTAGGAAACTGTTGATTCGCACGTTGTTCCTCAGAAGGAACACGGCCATGCTCTTGGTTTGACGGCTTTAACTCAGATGGTCCTGAGAGATATGTATGATGTACTTGTAAGACTAAGGAGGTATTTGGTCGTGAAATTCACTATGTTGAGTCAGTTTACAGGTGTTTTCACAAGAATTCCATTTTTAACTTTTACAGCATCCAATTCATCCTTTGTTCGTGAATTGTACGGACGTATGGTATGGCACCACCGTTTATATGAGCTCGATCGTCACTTAGTTCCAGGTTGAAACTTCTCATGTTATCATCATCACCAGCTGTAAAACCCGCGTACTCACCGTACAGTGACCACAACCGCCACATTTTCGATAGCTGAAGATTTTGGGAAGTGGAATAGATAGCTAAGCATTGGAGGCCGTAGATGGTATAACTGACGAGTAAGTACATGGGTTTCATTCGACTTTTTATTGGAGAGATCGAGAAGGGAGCCATGCACTGAAGGTAACAGCTTGGATGCGTGAGCGCCATTAGTATACGATTGACAATGTCTCTAGCCATTGATGTGTTCTGTCTCGGGGTCCCCACCCAGGGAGATGGCAATGACCGGAGCAGCTGAGTTTGCTGGTTGGAGCTTTCATACTTCCTTGCCAAGTCCTTACTGGAACTCCTCTGGCTTTTTTCTACCTTTCACGTGGTTGTGCTAAAAGAACCCTTCGAGAAAGTTGGCCAACTGGTATAAAGATCACGCAACCAAGCCAGCGCAACCTATGCAGTGTGATCAGTTTATCTAACCTAGACCTTTGCGTGTCTGCGAGATTTGACATACAGCGCCTTTAGGAAGGTCAAGAATTTACGGGGACACCTCTGCTCCATTAACACTGCCGTAATGCCTGATGGTTCATAAATTCAAAGGCAGATTTGAAGTGAAGAAAGACCACCGTTGTTGGTTGCTGTTAGTAGTGTTCCTGTTCGAGAACCTGACGGAGGGTGATAATTTGATCGATGCATCCTCGTGCAGGATGGAACCCAGTTTGGGTACCAGGGAGTACCTTTGATTCGACAACTAGCAGGTCAGTGCCACGGTGGATTCCGCTGGTATGAATTTTATTGCATCGATTGGGGCCAGTGGTCATTAGATCCTATCGCAGAAGTCGGACAGAACCAAAGAACCACTCACGAGGTTACCGGCTGTCACACATAATTGGCTAAAATCCTTAACAGCGAATGGCATCGCTCATGTTTTCATTTCAGCGAGGTTCTCGTATCACTTTATACATCATGTTACAAGGCACACTAAGTTCTATTCTGAATTTTGCAATCTCACAGGTGTTTATCGGTCACCAGCATACATTTGAGAAGAATTTATTGCGGTGTGCTTGGTCAGCAGATGGTCGCCGGATCACGTGTGGAAGTGGAGATCGTTACGTCCATGTTTGGGATACAAATACACGCCAGCTGATCTACAAACTTCCCGGTCATACAGCTTCTGTCAACGAGACCGCGCTGCACCCAACCGAACCGATTCTGTTGTCTGTGGGGAGCGACAAAAAGATATTCCTGGGTGAAATTTTACCCTCTCTGTGAAACATTACTTTTCCCTCAAACATTTTGTACATGTTTTTTCGAAGGTCAGTCCGTGCAAACACCAGTTATTTTAATCCGTTTGACCAGTACTGAGAGGGTACACAAAACCTTGTAATTTTGTTCACACACTATTGGACAGTATGTAGGGACGCTTATCGTAGGCGCGTCGCCCAAAGAGGGGAGCTCTTTCCCGTAACTTGATAGACCAGAGTAGATTGTGGTTTCGACGAACTGGACTCGCTTCGGACGTTTCATACTTTCATTATGCATTGGGACCGTTGACAAGTTATCGAACGAACTGGACTCGCTTCGGACGTTTCATACCTTCAATATTCTGTATTGGGACCGTTGACAAGTTATCGAGGAAGAAACCTGTTCGGACTGACTCTACTACATAACACGTGCTGCAGTTTGGCCAAGTGCTGCGGAACACTGACGCAGCTACTACTCCTGAAGAATCCAGACATTTAAAGAACAAAAGTGGGAAAGAGGGTTGCTGAAAGCATCTCAAAGCTGTCCAATCACAAAGTCATACTTTATTTTTTAGTCTGTTTTCACCCTGATTGTACCTACACGTGAAGATATCAGGGATAAGTCCGCCAAATAAAAAACACTGGAACGTCTGTTGGTGCAGAGGACGAGTCCTCATAGATCCCCACTAAGAATGTGGAAGTGAATTTACGATATACGGAAAGTTTATGCGAAGTTTTAGCGTCCGACCGTTGCCAACAGAATATCCATATGGTTTTTTTGTGGAGATCGAGTTGTGAATACAAACATCTACGAGGTCGTTGCGTACACTAGCAGAAAATTTCGTGAATTTTCTCCCCTGTTAGACCTGCATCGTTTACGAATCTGTGAGCACACGCCGCTTTGTTCACTTTTTGCTCAGTTTGCTGTACAAACGGCAGTGTCATTGAGCAGTTCCGAGGCAAAGATTATCTCTGGTCTTTGGTGGAAAAATACGCACATGCATGGCCTTTGGCCTCGGGATGTTGCCGTGTAGCTTCATTTTATGCTTGATTCGCAGATTCAGATGACGTACAACTCATTTTTTTCCTCACGGAGAATCGCTACTCAAGTGCACGAACAAAATTAACTACTTTTTTGGTCCCGTCCAAGTACACCTCAAGTAACCTCCACGACAGTTCCTATGGCGAACCAGTCAGCGGACAAAAAAGGAGGCGTTCAGTGCCCAGCTGATGTGTCATCCGAAGGAAGCACGAGAACTGAGTTACTGCCGGGTTGCCAAAGCCCAGGCCGGAGCTGTCGAGATGCGGAGGTTCGGTTGAAATCATGGAACTTCTGATTAGGTTTGCGCCTTAAGCCATGCCGGCTCATCGGGCATACTGGGGATAGAAGCCTCTGTTGTCTTACTCGAGCATCATACTAGAGGACAACGTGTTGCTTAAAAGCAGTCGGCTTTGTCTTGGAGTGGTTCTCGTCCGCTGGATATAACGCCATTGTGCAGAGCTTGAAAGTGCAGGATTCGGAAAAATTCAGAATGGTGAGTTATGAAGGCGAACACTAGGTGTCGTTGAATGGCATCATACATGAGAGACAAAGGTCGTCCACGCTTGAAAGTGCAGGATTCGGAAAAATTCATAATGGTGAGTTATGAAGGCGAACACTACGTGTCGTTGAATGGCATCATACCTGAGAGACAAAGGTCGTCCATTTACACCGAAACTACTCGAACAGACTTCTAGGTATCACGCTCCCTTCGGTAAGTTCGACAAAATACCCTGTTAGTTGAGAGATACCAGCTGATCTCTTTAGGTCTTCAAAAGACAGAACGTGTCACTGGAAACAGTGATGTGATGTCACAGTCCGTCTACTGGAAGCTCGTTGTACAACGCTCACCATCGATATTTTAGCTTCTGACCAGAGACGTGAGCAGAGAGTGACAACTAGTCACGAGCAGTGAAAACAACCATCTCGCGCACAACATATATTACGTAAAATGAAATGAGCCAGTTGCTTGAAGACGGAATGCGACCACATTGTCCTGATGCAAACGGCTTAAACAGTCAACCAAACAGTCTTCTGATGGACTGAGCACCAACTAGGACCAGAAACCTCATCCTCCAATCGAGATGAAAAATAGCTAGTCAGTTTCGAGGAATCGCCTTGTTTTACAACACATCACTGCCTACCGGTTTAGAGAAAAATAAGGATTGTTGAGGAATGAAAAGCGTTTATGAACATTCGAACTCAATAATTCACTGACAACTAAGTCGATTCAAAGTTTGAAATGTATCAAAATACGGAAGTTGTGTATCGATATGGTGGTGCAACGATGATGGGTGGGATTATACAAATGGGAAAGGCCATCACCTGACGACACGGGTGATCGTTCATCCAGGGAACGTGGAAGTGGAACGGTTTTTTTTCGTTTTTTTTTTGGGGGGGAAAAGCAATTATGTACATGTAAATGCGGTGAGAAGTACAGTGTCTACCACGGTTCTTCATAGCCATGGTAGCCAGTCTGGACTCATTTGTACCAACCTGGATGGATCTGTAGCCAAGTTCATAAAATTCCACGAATTCGGCTCCGGCGCAGAATATTCCGAGACGGCTGCGGTAAACAGTAATAAGCGTTCACGATAATTAGCATTTGATAACCAGATGGTGATTTCGGTAGAATTTCGATAAAATTCTAGTTCATCATTGGTTTGAGCGCTGAGTTGGGCAGTTTCGTCACAAGCGTCCCACTACCAATCAAGATGACATCATCAGCAAGTTCTTGTGAAGCGGTGTCTGTGGGAATGAATCCCACCCAATCACAGTGACGCATTGCACCGCCTGATTGTCCGACCTGAGACACCATGGTTATCAGAACAAAGCAATACACCGATGCCATCTAGTCTGATGATGAGAATCTCGCAATCTAATTAACACAGTTTAGCGAACAGACTAACTGGGGTTTTCTTGGAAACTTACCAGAACCCGAAAGACCACTCGTCTTTGGCATCTTTTGATAGATCATTCATTAATACTAGTGTCTGGCGTACGAGACTGACACGATGAGAATCTACCACATAATGGATGATATCAAAGATGTGATATTGAGAATGAGAAACTCAACTTCGACTGTGAAATGCTTTTAATTTGAGCGCATTGTAAGGTTAAGCTGGTTGGGTAAAGCCATACACATGTTGGCTTGCTGCTCACGAATCATTTTCAAAACTGCAGTGTAGCCCCTGATACGTTCACTGATACTATTTTGGTCCGATTAGAGGCTTTTATTGAGGGATATAAACAGTCCTCGGGGAATACAATCGTAGACTCTAGAAGGGCGAGAATGGCCACTCTGCAACTGGGGAGCTCCACACGAATCGGGTGAATAAACAGCTAAAGCTATGCCGGAAAGGTTCCATAACTTCGACTAAACCTGAGAAGACATGGCATCGGACACGCGGTGCAGCTGAATTTTTTTATGCCTTCCATGAGGGATTTGGACTAAACTGTGCGCCGAAATTCTGTTCGCCATCTCCCCTCCAAAGTTCGTTACAGGTTTCAAGAGACTCGATTCGAATATCCTGAAAATTCTATCAGAGACAAGATTTTTAGATTCAAAGCATGTGTTCACCCTATAGACTGGAGACAAGTCACCAAATAAGACCCCTAAAATGAAAATACTTCCGAAATCCAGTGAGTAGTATTCCAAAAGTATGAGGGGATTGTCGCAATAACATCAAAATTGACAAAAGGTGTTAGATTAATGGAGTGTTATAAATGTGACTATCATATTCACTAGTTAGCTTTGCTAATAGCTGTCGTTGGATCAATGGTGACAGCTTACGCAACAGGCTTTCTCACATTCGTACAAACTATTTCTGCTGCAATGTGACGGGATGGATTTCCAACTGTTTGCGATGGGGGAAGTTAGATTGTCGCATCAGTCACAAGCAATGGTTATGGTTTGGGCCTACCTCAAGGACGGCATCTAAAGACATCCCACTTGCAATCAGTAACCTTGCGGGCCCTGTCTCTTTTAACCTTTGGCTTTAAGCGTCAAAACGACAAAGAACGTTTTGAAAACTCTCATGATACGATACAATTAACTCACTTTTTAGCGTCCCCTGCATAGCGTCGACGGTGAAGGAAATCAGCTGAATGAGGTGCTCATTCGTCAAATCAGGGACAAGGGTGACAGTAGATATTTGCTCTGTCTCACGTTCCACATGACTTGAACGCAAAGCAGTTACACCAAGTTCATCAAACAATTTGGTTTTCCGTCTGGTTCCACCTTCAGTTTCGTCTGAATCAGAGTCACTGCTTGGTAGGGGATCCGACGGCCATGGTTGTTCGCCTATCAATAGTTGGAATGCATGAACCGCGGCTTGTCGGCCTCGATGCCACAGGATATAGTCCCCACGAAGTATTGTCCGATATAAGCTGCTTAACGAGTGAGAACGCTGTGAATTGTGTAATGCTTGGGCAGCAGTAGTGTAACTAGCAGCAAACGGGCCGGTATTTGTTGGCGCTCCCGGCAAACATATAAATCCGGCTAAATTTGGCGTGAGTCGGAACGGAACAGGATTGGCAGTGATGCGCCAGAACGAACTACTGGAGTTCACTGTGTGGTGAGTGTCATTCATGGTGTCTGGTTTACTGGTGGATCGTTCACCTGAGGAAAAATTAAACAACTTCAAAGTCTGAGCATTCCGATTTTAAAATAAAATTTATCAAAAGGAAGGTGTAAAGGGTAAGATCACATAAATCCTTTCACGGGCATCTGAAAATGGTTCAGCAGTGGGCTGCGCGAAACAGAGACGTTTAAAAGGTTCACCTTTTGCTGATTAAAGGGGACTTCCTGCAGTGACGAAAATATTTAAATTTGGACTCACGTACTAACTCTTCAACTCACTTTGATTCCTTTTTTCTTTCGGTATCTACACGGTATGCTACGTGATCAGTGCAACCAAACATTATGTGACCAAATGGCAGATTGATGGGCGATAGCTAATCTCACTCTAGTGCAAATATTCAAGTCGTATCAAATTCTCTAAGATGTCATTACAAAATGAAAACGCGAGCGTGCTTTTAGCTATAACACCAGGTATGTTTAACAGCCATCTATTCGCATGCCAGAAGGGGACCGAGATGGGTCGCGGAAGTAATCTAGACAAGAGAAGTGTGAGTATGAACTCGTAACTTCTTCAATCCATAAACAATGGTTATGCAGAACAGGTTCATCGCACATGTCCGAGGTCTACTTGAAAAGATACCGCCGCTGCTTTCAGAGGTGCAAATTACCTTCCGTAAACAAATGAGAGTCGAAATCTGCACGAAATAATTTCGGATGGTCACTGAACCCATGAGAATGACGACAAAATTTGCAAGACGGTGGAGGATTTTCATTTTATTGAGGTTTGAACGCGTCTTTTAGGGGAACTATGCTCACTAACGAGATGAAGCCAAATGAGAGTTCAGTGCTCTTTTGATAGCGGGAAAATGGTGAACTTACTGCATGATTTTGGCGCACGTAGCGTCATTGCGTTTGTGAAGCACACAGCCAACTGCGTTGAGGGTCCAGATTTATCAGAAACACCAGATGATAACTGGGAACGTAAATTCAAATCTAGTGTCATGTCAACGTTGTGAGGCAAATTGAACGCCAACTGACGAGCATCAGCTCGCCCAGAGCGCGCATCTACGACCAGACAGCCGGGATGGAGAGGTGTCAGATGAAACAATTGTTCCATCAGTGCAATAAGACCGAGATGAGCAGCAACCGAGTGCCGCAGAAGCCAGTAGCTCTCGGCGTCCAACATACGGTATGCAGCCCACCGGCGAACTAGGGAACCGCGTTTGAATTCTGCAGGTGTACTTTCAGAGTACTCACTAGGAAGACATTCCGATTCGGGGAGTACTCCTAGCCTGTTGTATGAGGGGAAGATGCAAGTGCTCAAATCAGTTGTAATTATGGAGAAAGATGCACAGACAATATCCTATGAATATAGTTCTGACGATCTTCACATCTTCTAGTATATGAATCATGCAAGCGAAAACCCGGTGGCTTGTCACTGAGGAACGAAACAACCACTAAGCATAATCGGAAGTTATGGATCTATGGTGAAAGTTTACACAAACCGCACTATTTGTATCCCCTGATGTTGACATGGTTCCTAACCTCCGTTCGCTCGTTCGCCAGACCCTAGTACTCTGAGTTCGAATAAATGATATTGCTCTGTTTCCAGACCTTTCTAGTGTCATCGAATGACGAATGCGATAAGAAGTTGAGGCAGAAGCTCGAATCCTTCACTTACCTAAGGAAATACCACAGTTCTAAACAACATGGACCTCAACTGGAAAATACGTGAACAAGCGAGAAAATGAGTGCCTCTGATCGTAACGAATACGCGCGGGTCCTGTCGTACATCTCTCAAACTTGGAAACACCATTACAGTGAACTTACGTTGAAGCAACTGGACTTCTCAGATGAGGATAATGAGGCATACGGTCGGATAGTTTGGTGAACAAGTTGACCAAGAATGCTGTGTCAACTTTGGTTCTTGGTGTATGCTTTACCACATCCATAAGATACTCGTAATAGGAACAAACTAATTCACGAGGCGTTGCGTATTGTTGACTGCTGGGAAGCGAAGAGTTTTTGACAACATTTCCCGCTGAATCTAGTACGACTGACCGAGAAGTATGGTCACTGGTAACAGTAGAGTTGGTTGGGGTAGTCGATATTGTGTGGTGCTTCCAAGTAGTACAGGAGTGTTCCAATATTCCAGATAAGGTTATACAAGCGGGATGGCAACCAGCATCAACGCCAGAAGGACGACCAATTGCTTCCGCAGCAACCGCGGAGCTTCCTCCTGCTGTGTTGCACACCCCAGATCCCGTTGTTCCAATGACTGAAGGGACTGGAGCCGGTGGAGGATTCGGTAGGGAAGCTTTGTAGGGGAACTATGATGGGACATAAAGAAATATGACAGGAATCGGTTTGGGCAAACACAAGGAATAAGTAAAGCACAGTGTGCAAAACAGAAAGAAGGGTACGGTTCATATTACCGCACACCAGTGCGAACCGTTAGAGGGGTCAGTGTTGCTGCTGGGCCTAGGTGGAGTTTTGATTCCGATTGACTACTTCAGTAGTTACTTTTCAACGAGTAACTTACCTGTTGATGTGCATCCGAATTCGGTCCACCAGTGGCCTCAATACGATCGAAAGGTAGTGCCCACGACGGTGGCCTACCTTTTGTACCAGCTGAAGTCGCGCAGCCAGAATTTACGCCACTTACTGCGGATAGGGGAGGTGGACGGGTTAAAACAGTGAGACCTCGAGCGCTGACGGGATTAGCCGAAGGAAGTGGATGTGCACATGCATTAACAACATTCGAAGCAGGTGCAGAGGCACCGACCTCCGTTAGGCACAGCCCCATCGGACCGACTTCCATTATTCTGGAAATAGAAAAATAAACGAACTGTTAGGCAGAAGATATCCAGAAAGGTACGGCACTCGGCCTAGCCGTTTAGGCGATTCGACATTTTAAGGTTTACTTGGTAAGTGGATGCGAAATTGCCAAAACAGTACTCGGACTATTATAGACTTAAGTGCAGCTGAAAACATTTAGTGATAACCACAAAAGAGGTGAACCGACTGACCTTGGAACAAAAAGTGATAGATTTCGTTTGGCGGTTTCCGGTTGGGTAGCTAACGCATCATTAATCAATTGGAAGAGCTGCAAAGGTCCATTTTGACGCCACCGTTTGTAGGCAGGGCCACAAAGGCCTTCAGAAGTTAGGTGGCCTAAAGTCGAAGCCCGACCACGAGCCATGGTAAGAAACTGAGTTCGTGCACCCGCAAGTGCTTCATGCTGAATAGCAGCTGTGTTCGATGTGATCAGGTGTCCAAGGCAGGCGAGATCATAATAGAACACACGCCCATTGCTGGCACGGATACCCAGTCGACGTGCCGGTGGGGACATACGTCCGGCTGAGCAGCGGATTCGAGCGACATGGGGTAACACGTCGGCGATGACCAAATGCGAGGAGAGGCCAGAATTTGCGGTATTTGTGATTTGCGCTTGCATTAGCGGGCCAACGGCTAGAGAGTGGACTGCACTCGCGGCCCCTTGAAATAATCCAGATTGACCTGGTAGTTCCAGACATGGAGAGCCAGGTAGCGTTGACGGGGTGGGTGATGCACAACCAGTGTTTGGCGATACAAGTGGCATGTGGTTACCCACAATGAGACTAGACATCTCTAGAAGGCGGATGGCACCACAGTCGGAAAGGTGTAAACGAGCAGGTAACCGGGCAACACGCGCCTCCACCAACGGGATCCAACAACGAGTCAGTCGTTGAATCACATCCTAAATGGCGGGAAAAGAACGCGTGAGAACATGAGGTCATAACACTGTAGCTACTGAAGAATGTGAATCCCTTCCCCAACAATGGTATGGGTCAGTTAAGCACAAAAGTCCAATCGAATAGTGTGGTAGTGGCTAATAAGCCACTCCAAAAAATCATCCAACTGAGCCGCAGCCTTATCAAGTCAAAAGTGAAGACGAACTATGGACCTTTTGGCTTAACGGCGTATCATCCTCAAAGATAGTGGTGAAAAAGCAGATGCAAAGCGAATTTCGGTTAACAATGGAGTCACAAGAAGAAGCAGCTTGCTAAGACGAGCAAACACCCATTCGTACCAATTCTCCGGTAGTTTTAAGACTGTAAAGCTTATGGAGCCAGAGGTAATCGTATTCGAAAGCAAATAAAAGGGCTCATTTGAATTATCAAAACATGACTTCTAAGTACTTGCAAGGATACTGGTCCCAATCAGGGCATCGGTTCTAGGAGTATAATGCTGTGAAGAAAATCTTGATAATGTATATCTGAAAGGATGCACGCGTATTACGACTGTTGGGCTTTCCACTCGAAAATTACTTACCAGTATGGGACGTCCTTCTAGGTCACTCATCTCGTTTGCTAATCGCTCGCGTATGTAGGAAAACCACGGATCAGCCAGCGCCTCGGCTGCTAGCTTGGTAGTCATTAGATTTTCAACTTCATCGTATGCTGGCATACTGGTTGTCCACTGCACGCTAGAAGGCTTCGATATTGTGGTTCGGCCTCCCTTGGTAACGCCTTTGTTAGCAGCGTCACCCTTTGATCGACCTGGCGACTCATCACTCAATTTACTTCTGACCGGTGGTTTAACGTCTTCTAATTCCGATTCAGATTCGGAGGAAGAGCTGGACCTTTCACGACTGGTTGACGGTTTGACGGATTCCCGACTGGGCGAAGTAATGGGCGGTGAGAGCAAAGGGGGATCTTTGAGAAACGCATCATCTTCTTGGAACGGTGATTGAATCCGCAGGCCACAAGATGTGCCGATAAACCGTAACTCGGATGCCAACCAGTTGGGGATACACAGTTTCGTCAGGTTTTTAATACGCCAAGATCTGCCAGGTGAGACAGTAGCCCATGATAATCGATGGAGGTAGTCTAAGGTGGAACAAAGCTGGGCTAGGAGTTGTTCAGCCCAAGTTGGCTGCAACTTTCCACCCACTTCATTGGTGAACAAATCCAGAGCGTAGATACGTACAGCATGACGTCGGCGTAACTGAAAGACGGAAACAGTTGGCAATTACATATGCATAAATCACAAACAAAAAGCTGACCGAATGATGCCAACACTGAAGACCGAATCCGCATTTGCGCGATTCGAATGGTTCAATTTAATACGCATGGTTTTTTTTTGATGCGCGGCTGACTGAACGTCATTCATAACGCGTTATCTATAGTAGAACGTGCTCAGGTATAACGCGGACGTGTTCAAGGCATACTCATGTAAAGGCCAAAAGACTAAAGGCACATGATCGCCGAAGTACACGCCAGTCACTCCTCAAGGTAAATTACTGAAAAAATGGATGCACAAAGCTGCCTTCGCTCAACGTAACAGTTTGGTTCGGAAACCCAATCGAGATCTAACATTGTGTGTACTGCACACCAGTGTACAGCCCAAGTGACCTCCGCACCTTTTAACAGTTGATCCGGAAATGAAGGTAGAATTCTTCTCTCGATAACTTTAGCCTAAATTCACGCCTATTCTTTTTCCTATCTCTCCACACATAAAGACTGTGACCAGTTAGGAGATTACGGATAATCCTCTTTGCACCGTGCACTTTCTCCATAACTATAGGATTACTAGCCTGAGGTCTAAGAGTTAATTATCAGTGCAAATCAGAGCGATCACCGTTCTGGCGAATCAGTGTTGCATACTCTCACCTTGAAGACACAAACCGGGTGGACATTAGTCGTAACTCAAGTTCGACATCAAACTCGGTTGGAAACACACAGCTGAGTACGGGTTAAAGTGTGGATTGCACTCCTCAGACATACCTTCCTTCCAGCTGAATAAGGTTGGTGCATCTGTTAATCACCAGTCAACTAGGATACATCTCTTGAGTACATGATTCTCAAAAATGTAACGCACGATTTAGTTGTTTGAGTCCAGCGTCGCATGGCAGAAATTATGAATTGGAATTCCTGATGACCAATGTGAGGTCTACTCAGTCATACGTCCACGCATGCGCTGTTATGTTAGGAGCCTTATGAGGGCTTGGGTACGGGTCGTAAAATACGACTGGTCGTCCAGAATGCCCCACCACGGGAGCGCCAAATCGACGTTAAACTACGGCGAATCGTTCGACTATAGTTGCTTAGTTATATTTATCCCCTTCGCTAGTGTAAGCAATTGAAATACCAGCTCGAACTCATCAGATGCGCCACGAAGGAAAAAAAAGGAATATCCCATCTTTCTCGAGGTGGTCGCTTTAGATAGAAGAGGTCTAGAAGGGGTCGATTGTGCATGAACTGGAGCACTCGGAACAATACGCGAAAATGTTGTTGGGTATCGACAAACAGAAAATTTATGCCAAGATCAAACACAGGGATAAATAGAGTAGCAAGATCGGTTAGTAAACTTTTGACTAAAGCCAGGTAAACGTACCTGATTCATCAACGCATTAACTCGATGAAGGCTCTCAACAACCATCGCTGACAAGCAACGTGTACCAACTGTTTCATTCTGTGTAGGGACTGATTGCTCTTCGGAGTCGGGACCGGTGGACAGTTCAGATCCTGTTTTAGCGCCAAGATTCCCAGGAAATTTATCGTCAGAAGTGACGCTTTTTCCTTCGACGGCAGTTTGGCTTAACATTTCGACGTCCTCTCGCTCCGTATCGCCATCTTCGTTATCATCATCCAAATCAACATCGTCCGGCTCGTCGGCTGCCTCTTCACCTCCAGCCCCAGACGAAGCATTGTGGCCACGAATAGCAGTTTTTCTTGCGACACCTGTGGAGTTTACGGGGGAATCAGTTGATTCGTATTCATCTAAGGACTTTGGATGGCTAGGGCTTATTGCGGACCCGGCAAGACGTTCACCTTCTACGCCACGCATGACAACAATCACACGCTTTTTCTTTTTGGAAGCAGCCGTGTGTGAACCGGAAGTGATGTTCGTTGACGCAGAGGCAGATCCATTGGAGGAAGTCGTATTGATACTCTTAGTGCCGCATGTTGAGGAACCAGGGACAGACCGCTGCTGACTGTCCAACTCTGCACCGGAAGTACCCATAGAAGCAAATGGGCCTCGTGAATGCTTCCCGTCAGAATCTTTGCTTTGAGAGCCAAGAGCGCTAACACGCGAGCGCAAAGCGGACAAAAACGCATTGGAATCAGGACTCTCCTTCTCCAACAACTGTCCAAGTTTATCATCGTAACGAACTTCGGTCGATAACTGATGCTGCAATCCCCGAAGCAGATTGTAAAGCATGGTTGGGTGGGACGCAATCACTCCACGTAAGGCGGACGCAACAAATCTACCTTCTGGACGGAGAAGGCTGTATACCAAGTTCGGTAGCCAGGGCAAAAACGCATCAGGTCGAACTCGACTAGAGCGTTCTTCAAAAGTGCGTGCCAGGCGCTGCTGTCCTTTGGTATCGTCTAGAGTCAACAACCATAGACATTTAGCGACATCGGCGCGGCTGCGACGCTCTGACCCACCAGTCACACTGGCGGCTTCCATTAGTGCCTGCATGGCAAATATCCCAGTCGTAGAAACTGCAAGCTCTCGCTTTCTACACAAGTAAGAAAAATACTCGTGATTAGATGTAAACTGATTACAGGGCAAATGGAAAGCAACACGTGATAAACTAGAAGGCACATTGAGCTGTAAACTAAAGAATTAGCTGTAGTGACCTAGGGCAGTGCAGTGGAGGCTTCCTGGGTTTCGACGGCTCCCACCTATGACTGACTAATAGAACAGCAGCCGAACCGAAGTTTCTTACAGAGCACTAAGTAGGAGGATGGTGGTGTAAGTGTTAGCCTAGAGATGCCGACTACAATGCGAAAATCGGCAACCTTCAAAATTTTCCACAAGGATCGGTGCAGGACTATTCCGAGAATAAGATTTCAAGTTTCGGACAAAGGCCCATAGATAAGCAACAAACAAAGTCGGTAGGATGGCAACTAACAATTAGGGACAACGGAACAGCATTGTGTGACTTCTTTGGCATGTTCACAGAAGGATAACATCAACAGTAGCCCGCCATCAAGGACTAAGGAGGAAAATCGACCAACAATGACCGTATTAAATTTACTGAATCAGGATTAGTCTCAGTAGGGCATGAAGGCAAAAAATAAGATTAACCCTTACATGAACGATTGAAAGTAAGCGCTGATGTTCACCATCAGCATCGGGCTATCGAATATAGTAAAGTAGTTAATCACGTCACAATAAGGCAATGAACGAAGCTCACGTCGCTGGATATCCAGAGTAGACATTTTCCAAGAAGTCCCCATAGATGGACCACACGGTATGAAGGTTATCTTGCATTTGTGTGGCGTAACCAAAGTTTTTGGTGGCCTCGTCCCCTCTGAAAAAAAGGCTCGAGATTAGTAAATGGGTGATTCATGTAAACAAATGGTACTTTTCTTAGTGCCAACCACCATACAGTGGTCGCTTATATCCACTTCCTATATGATGAATTTCCATACTTTCGGTGGCAATCATGGGAAGAATATGTCCCCAAGTCACGGAGTAAAGTGCTCAAGCGCTAAAGAGGAACGCACACAGTGAATTCAACCAGAGAGTGCAGGATAGCATATCAGTCTGGGGGAGGAGACTGAACTCGATCAAATCCATGAGGGAAAAACATTTAAAGGTTATATAAAAGAGGCTCGAGGGTGCAAAGGGTAGAAAATGTATAAAAGATGAAAAGAATTCCGTTAATGTGTGCACCAGACAGTTTTCTCAGCTTCACGAAAAGTACAGTTATATATAATATATATATTTCGGTGGCAATCATGGGAAGAATATGTCCCCAAGTCACGGAGTAAAGTGCTCAAGCGCTAAAGAGGAACGCACACAGTGAATTCAACCAGAGAGTGCAGGATAGCATATCAGTCTGGGGGAGGAGACTGAACTCGATCAAATCCATGAGGGAAAAACATTTAAAGGTTATATAAAAGAGGCTCGAGGGTGCAAAGGGTAGAAAATGTATAAAAGATGAAAAGAATTCCGTTAATGTGTGCACCAGACAGTTTTCTCAGCTTCACGAAAAGTACAGTTATATATATATATATATATACGGTTTCAAATGCATGAACCAGAATACGGAGTGACTTGCAGAATGAAAAGAATATAAAGAAGTGACGACTTGCTTGTTGAAGTGGGAAAAGAATACCGCCTTGTAGCAGAAGAATTGCGCCCGGTCTTTCTTCTCATACTGTTGTATGTTTGTTTTCTCCATCAACTCGAGACCCTAAAAGGAAAAAGGGTGGTACGATATTTACTGTCAATGGGAAACGAATGCGTCAAATTCAAGGTAATATGGTGCATACAAGGTTGTAAGGTAGGCGGTTTGCAGCTAACGTCACATAAGCACCTTTATATTCAATATGACATATATGGTGCATCTAGTGACGGTATGATGACAAAAATTTGCTTCTAGCTAGCAATCGATTACGCGCCATCGATGAAGCTGCACATACAGTCCGTATAGTACATCAGTCGGACTACTGCGCACTTTGAGACGATGTACTAGCCAGTGGTACGAACTAGGAGGTGACGGAACCATCATCATTGTTAACGGCTCCACTTACCTCGAGCAACTCGTCTTTGCGAAGGTCAAACATTTTCAGTTTGATCTCCTGTTTCGTCTTCTCGAATAATGGTGGAAGATTCATCCGTGTATAACTAGAATGCAGAAAATCAGCCATATGGACCAAAATGAACTTATGAAGTCACTTTAAAATTTAGGAAGGAAAATGCAACATTACGCGACACACTGAAATAAAACATGTTATGGATGGATGACCATATCGGCGTTTTGTGAGTGACGGTAATTGGAGTATCTTGAAAGCTTTGAAGCCCTGGCGAGTCAACGGTAAAAGCAGTGCTTTTAAATAGGCAAGCCCGAAACTACGTATACTTATCAAACAGACCGTTTCTTCCAATCCGTTTCTGCAGCCTGTTGCAGTCAATTAATAGGCTATTGTAAGTTGTATTAATTCAGATTGTAGTGTGACTGATGAGGTGGATGCACGAATCTGCAAGACTCGGGCCGCGTTTGCTAACTTGACACACCTATGGCCTCAAAATGGTCTATCCCTGAATCTGAAATGGATGTGTATCAAGCTACAGTACGGGCTGTTTTGTTGTATGGCTGTGAGACTTGGCCCATTCGAGCAGCAGAACTGAGACGTCCTCAGGTGTTCGACAATCGTTGTCTGAGAACCATGGCTCGTGTGGGTCGGTGCGTCGGAGTGCAACGACAATCAGAATGACAATGGAAAAGACTGAGGGCCCGAAAGCTAGGCTTTATTCACCCAAAACTCTGACACTGAGAGCTGGAAACGGAAGAAAGTGATTTAGCAACAAAGGATGAAACGTTTGAAAAACAGAGCAAATATATAACACCTCACTGTGCCCGGTTGGAGACCCTACAAGATATGGCGGCCAACCGATGTCAGTGGCGTTCCTGTTGTCAGTTTCTATCCAGATTGCCTGAGTGAATGTCTGGAGGTGTAGGCACCTCGGAATGATTGTGTTAAGCTAGCACTTAGTCCCTTCCCCGTCCACCCTTACTCTTTTCTTTACAATAAGGCTTTCAAATAAATCATGGTTGTACGGCAGTGAAGCACCGATGTTGAACACTGATGTCACGCTGTCGATGATGATGACAACTGAAACAATCTGACAGCAATTACAGGCATGAATCTGTATGTTTGAAAAAAGAGCCTTCCACAAAACTACTTCTGTAGGAAGTAATTCACATGTTTGTATCTACATACTATCAATATTGCCAGAAATTATAAAACAAATTACACATATTGCGACTGAAAACGCAGTGAAAGCATTACTGCTTAAGGTAATACAATTCACCTTTCGCACAAATGATAGTCACCCCGGCAAACACCTCAGAAAATGTCCCACTTGGAACTTCCTTGGCAATCGTTGTATGCTATTAAAACAAATCTCTGACTAGAGTAGGCATTGTTTGAACATCAGTGCCCCGATGGCAGGCAGCAATACTAATTGATCTGAAGAAAGCTCAAATGTGTGAAGATAAAAACAAGAGGAAAGGGGTCTAGTTCTAACCTGGCACAAATACGACGGATTAAATAACCAAAATTGAGACTGAAACACGCAACGCACCGATCCAAATGTTGCTGTGCAATGCTTGGGAAGTTATGTTTTCGTGCACCTCGTGCAAGCTGAAGCTGACTGAACGCCAGTTCCCGTTCACAAACGGCGACCAAATTAGCCTGTAGGTGGAAAGGTGAATTGGAAAAAACGTAAAATTCCCAAAAAGTAAAGCAAATTTTTCTGTGATGACACGGAGTTTCACCGAAAGGAGTTGGTGGAGATGGTTGAGAAATCCTCAACAGCCGAGGTGTGTACCGAAAACGGTGTAACAAGTAGCTCACCCGTTCAGAACCGAATTTTTGGACATGCGGATGGCAGCTGATAATGGTTTCTTCTACGACTTGGCGCCACGAAAATAGATCGTGCCAGAAACCCAAATCATCGCCAATTGCAGGCGGACGGCTCCTGGACGGAATGGAAAGACACACGAACTATATGATAGAAAGATCGCCAGATTACTTGTCTGGGGTATGTGAACCGGTTTGAGAAAGAAGAAAGTGTACGTGAGCACAATGGCAAGATATAGCATTTGAAAACACCATCCACATGCTTAGTATTAGTCTAAAGGCAACCTGCTCAGGTGATGTATGCTGATTGGTACGAGGATCGTCTGAGAAGTGAGGCTGGGGCAAGACATGATAATAAACGAACACAATGATACTGCCGCGATTGTCTTCTGGTATTCCTTTGATAATACCGAAAGTGGTTGAATAGCGATTGGTCTACAACGCTTGGAGAACACTGTCAATACCAATCTTAAGTAACTTCATTGTTTCTGAAGGGGGATCAGCGGACTCGACCTTTCATGAACGAACAAACAGACATGGAAGCAATAAGCTGAGGATATTCATCAGAGGCATCACGTTGAACTTCTACGAAATGCTGCATGAAGTTTGTATATCAGACACGTTCGGAATAACCTTCTCCCCACAGAGCAGCTTAGGTTATACACCGAGATTCTGAACGTTTTCGAGTGAAGTCTTCGAAGAGCCTACGAGGATGATGACAAGCTCGATTAAATTCGAATAGGTGTTTCTTTAGAGGTACTGATTCCGTCGTCTCAGAAGATAAGACGGAAAACGGTCGTCACAAAAGGACGAAATTTTTCCATACTGTACCCAAAGAAATTCGCTTCGTTACCACACCGCTGCTGCTAATGGTTATCCAAACTCCAGTGAACCATAGACATCTAGCACATATTTTCACGTACCATTTACTATCAACGTTAGATTTCCTCTCACTAGTTTACGGTGGTTACCATCACCAACTGCATAACATCACCGTTCAAAACTGCCAGGAAACCACAATTCACTTGAGAGGCTTATTGTGACGAAAGGAATGAAAGCGGATGCGGAAAGGATTTAGTGCACCCGAGGTACATACACCCATTCCGGGAATCTAGATAGAAATTAGTAAGAATAACACTTTGTGGCGTCTACAACCATGCACAGGAGGGATCACGCTAACCCTACTCTGGAAGTCGAGTAGAATCAACACCCAAATTTTTCATTATCTCTTTCATACCCACCTGATAGGTCAAATTCCGACCACTTCCTTGGTTGCGGCACTCTGAATCGGGAACAGATAACACTCTTTTCGATATTGGTAATACATGGGCTAACAAACAGAGCTTTGTGCTTCGTACACCCTTCGACTGAAGTTCCGGTTACACACTCGTTTCCGAATCGCCTCTTCGCGGATTCACCGATAAACAATAAATAAAAAAATAATCGTTCAGCTGTAACACCACTTTGTTACCTGGCTGCCATGCCACCCAAAGGAAGCATGAGGGCTGAGGAGTGCCAGGTTGCCCAAGCCTAGACAGGGGAAGTCGAGAGGCAGAGGTCGGGTTCGAATCACAGACCTTCCGGTCAGTTAATCCGCGCTCTTACCACTGAGCCATCTCGCCTACATGAGCTATAAATCCGAGACAACGGTGGTCGGAGACCTGAAGACGCCTCACTTGGGTCTTCGGCAGAGACCACATCCCACAGCCATACAACAAAACAGCCCGTATTAAAGCCCGATACACATATCCCTTGAGTTCACAGGTATGCCACCTTGCTACCATTGGTGTTATTAATAAGCTAACGCGACCCAACCCCTATGGACTCGTACAATAACGTCATCAATCACACTATGATCTAAGCTTACGCAACTTCCGATATAGGTAAAACGCTCCAATTTCCTGTTTTATAAGTGGTGTGTTCAGTGATGCTCAGAGTTCAGTCTATACTCAGAGTCTTACACTTTGCGGGCTTAGAATGCATGTCGAAGGATGGGACGAATTTTGTCAGATCAACCAAAAACACCTATCTTCCGTTCGAAGACGAGAACGATGTCGCCTGTATATTCCAGACTGACAGGACTTTTGTGAGCATCCATTTGAGCACCAGGGCCTTGAAGATATGGCATTCGTTTTATTGCCTCCAAAGTAAGTAGGAGTGGAGAGAATGGGGATTTTTGTCGGTCGCCACTTTTTGCACAGAAGTTATAAGACGGCCTTTTGCATAACTCGCACACCAAAAAGTCTGAGAATATAAGAAACGCTGAAAAACGTCCGGTGGACTCCTTGCCGCGCAGGCGTGTTAAGAAGAACAGACCAGTCATCATCATCATTGTCAGCTGCAAGAACAGCGTACTTGTCGTACAGTGGTTGTGGCTGCCATAGTTTCGTTCACCGATGACTTGAGGGGGTGGGGGTAGATAGCTGCTTATTGGAGGCGAGAGCTGATAAATTCGTACGTACAGCACTGTCAGTGGGCTGTCAAGTGGGGGAACTGGGAAGGGAGCTATGCATTGAAGGCAACTGCTTAGATGCATGACCGCCATTGAGGGCGCGACTGGGCCATGTCTGACGGTCTCCAACTATTGATTTGGACCATTTCAGGTTCATAGTTGGGACCGCAGTTTTACCTGAAACAGCCTCCTGGCAGCTCATCCAATAGCGTTAGCTTCATGGTCACAAAACTCTGGCGGGAAAAATGTGCAACCAGCACATCACCTCCCTCAGGTGCCTGAACAACACGACACATATAAGCAATGGACAATTTTCGTATTGCTGGATTTCCTTGGCGCATGTGACTCTATTGACTAATCTGTCAAACGTCACTGGGTCACTTGACACTTGATTTGAATGAGCTGTTTAACGTGTTATAGAAAGCTGTGTCAAGTATAACTGTGGTCCCAACTATGAACCTGAAAAATGCACCAACACCGTCAGACGTAGTAAAGTGTCTGTGTGAAAAAAAAACAGAGACGATGCACGGAATAACGTAACAAACAGCACACCGATGGACGAAAATCAGGCACGAAACTTACTGCCATGATTTGAACATAGTTTTATAGTATTCATGCATTCTTAGGGCAACGGATGCGGCCGCCGAGGTAGTAGCGTTTGATGTGGATGGAACGCCAATTGAGGACGGTGTTGAACTGGATTGACCCGGACTAGCGGAATAGGTCGAGCTGGGTAGAGTGGCATTCGGCCCACCCAGAGTACCGCCACAGTACTGAGCTAACAAGCTATTACCCTCCACTATTTCCACGGCTCTATGTGCAGTCTGCATGGGGTGCGGAAAAGCGATAATGGAAATGCCACTGAATATCAGCGTAGTAAAAAACATTGGAAATACTCTGATCCGTGTTAGCTTTTTTACTTGCAACTGTTTCGCAGCGCGAACCTAATAAGCACAATTCTCACTCCCCACGAGAACAGAAACATCGGTAGAACCATTGCCGTTTTCCACGAGTAGCTGTAACGCTTCCACTAGTAATTAGTGTCTCTGTTCCAGCTACACAATTTGACATTTCACACCCGAAATGAAGGCTAGCACATTAAAAACAAGACCGTATCACCAATTCCAAATAGTGTTGTGCTTAGCGGAACGAGCTTCGCTTATTTCTTCCTTCATGCTGTGAGCAAACAGAGTAACACCTGTTTACAGAGACCACTGCAGAAACTGGTCAAAGTTGTGGAGGGTATTCAAACCCGACAAATGTCTAGCTACGGAGTAATTTCTCTACAAAATTTACGCTAATCGTTTAATTTCGTAGGAACATTTAATGTGGTAACGAAGAAATATCTGCTCTAGCGCACATCAAAATTGTATGCACATGCTTTAAGGGTATGAGTACTGCTGTATTAATACTTTTACTGTTATTATTGCCACTGATGAATGATGCGATACTGGGACAAACATTAAATCATTACTCGCAACACTTCAGAGTAGAGCGTTTTGTTAGCAGATTGACTATCCAAAGTTGATGACATGAAAAATGCGGTGTAGAGAGAGGCGTTTTACGGGATGATAGAGAAGCAATTTTCTCTGTACCATCAAAAAGAACCAGAATTTGACATGAGAGAAGTGGCACGTTCAGGCCGAAAAAAGCTTCAGAGGCAAAACGGTATGGGGTTGCGTGAGGGAGAACTAAATATGCCAAAAGGAGATTACCGTAACCGTACCACAGGAATCCTTCAAATCTAAAGAGGTGCATCTTACCTGGAGTAATGGGATGTGCTGATTGTTAACTATCATCGGGAGTCGACGCCATTCACGGAGCATGGTTGTCATGACCCGATGGTTTTCCAGTTCTGAAGCTTGCAGCATAGTGACCATAGTGTGTGTTGACGTCGAAGCTCCAGAGGTTGAACTACTGGAGGAAATGGGAACTGCTGGGGAGCCAGGTACAGTAGACTGAATTTCAATAGCGGATGGACCAAGGTTACCACTACCGTAAGCATCAACGTCCGAACCACCTACTACAGATGCACTGCCGCTGAAACCAGAAGCACGTCGACCGGCTACACAGGCAGCTGCTTGGATCAACGCGTAGCGACACAAGTCCGAACGAGGACATTCATTCGCCAACTGAAACAGGAACTTAAGGAAGTGAGCAATGTCCACATGTGCAAGACGAAAAAACACAAAGAAACATGAACAAACCATACCCGAGCCAAACTGGAGTACACCTCGGACCAATCACTTCTGCGCCAAGCGGCATCGGCTTTGAGCCCCCAGTAAGCGGATCCGCCCACACTGGACCCACCGGCAGTCGTAGAGCCTCCCGGTCCACTAACAGACGGTCCGCTCATTGTAAATGCTGAACTCGTCTGGGAACTGGAAGCCAAGGCGTCCAAACTATCCCATTGACCCAACTGCTTCAAATAGCTGCAATCAAACAAGATAAATAAAATCGTCCTGGAAATCTTTTCGAATTATTTGACTCTTATGTGGGGCTGTGTCTGAAACTCATAATTAGTGGTTTATTATTGTACACTACCTACTTGTAAATAATAAGAAAGCATACCGGCTATGGTTTCATATGAACGCCCATCCACACTCTTCTTTTCTAATGAAGACAGGGAGTTTGTGTTACACAAGACTAACTTACCGCACGCAATAATCGTGGAGACGAGAGCCGTTCACATGCTCACTGAATAGTTCGCAAGCTGAAGCCACAGTGATGCTTGTGCTGAAAGGTGTGCTATATCGTGTAGAGGTTGACGAACCCGTTCGGTTGGAAGAAGCAGCCGCGGATGACGCAACTGTAATACTTTCTAAAGCTTGTTGACCGGAACCTAACGGTTGGTTGGCGAGACCGTTTCACATCCTCACTAAATAGTTCGAAAGCTGAAGCCACAGTGATGCTTGTGCTGAAAGGTGTGCTGTATCGTGTAGAGGTTGACGAACCCGTTCGGTTGGAAGAAGCAGCCGCGGATGACGCAACTGTAATACTTTCTAAAGCTTGTTGACCGGAACCTAACGGTTGGTTGGCGGCTAACTGGTCTAAGCTTACTTCCAAAGCGCGGAGGGTGAGACCGTGTTTTGCGTATTCGAGACACCGTAGGAACGGACTGGACCGCACCGAAGCCGACCGACTTTCAGTAGATCCATTCAGTGCAAACCTGTACCACCATGCGGCGGTGAAATGATCAACTTCTCCAAGACTGTCGTACAGTGCTATGAGTGAAAGCGCAGCCGCACCCGAGGGTAGGTCGCTCAACTTCAAACAGCCCGCCGTCGATGAGTCCACAGATTCCGGAGGAGGAAGACCCACCGAATAGACAAATTCTGACGCTCCTGGCGACTTGAGGGCACGTGCACAAAGAGATTCAAGAAACAGGGCGACGGTGTACCACTGGTTGTATGAACAACCAATGTACTGTGGGGAAGAATAAAGGAAAGATGGATCAAACAGGTTAATCAGGCCACATGAACAAGGCCCACAGATGCTACAATAAGATCAGTAAAAAAAAGTGAAGCGCAACGCCCGTCCAATTGGAAATCTTATCATTTATTTATTGGAATCTATGTGAAGGAGCCGAGAATATGGAAAGTCTTCAGTGGCGACCCAAGTGCACACAATACAAATGAGAAAAAACACGGTCCTTTGACGAGACTCGAAAATACGACTCTCGAATGCCGGTCAGAGGTATGACTTCTGTCGAAGGACTCTGTGCTTGAATTAAACCTACTCGGGTCATTAAGTTGAAGCATCACAGTCTGCAAAAGAGTAATCACTCCAACATATGTGAAGCTCGACATTCAAGTAAATAAGAAATAAGATTGACTCAATTTCGGGATTATGCTTAGCACATAGGTAGTGAGAAGTTTCAAACCCGTATTGGCCTATTAGAGAGATTCAATCAACCTTTCCATTCGAGTTGGGTGATAACTTGGTACCTCGCTCCCAGTATTAGTGTCTCAACAATCCCGAAATTCTCGATACTGTACGCAATGAGACCGGATCTAACCGGTTCAAAGTACTCAGCTAAGCAACGAATAAGCCACGACTGCAAGGACAGGACAGTGTTACAAAGTAACTTTATGCGTATACTTTCGAAACGCTGTACAATCGAGGTGTAGGATGTAGTTTCTAAGAATAAATTCCTGCTCTTATGACAACATGGACACTTTTCTAGATAGAATCCGATCACACCAAATTCACGACAAAATCCGGTTTACCAGAAGGGACTTCATCCAATTCTGAGTTGTAATCAGCGCGAATGACCAGAATGGTACCAGACCTTTTGCGCAGCAACATCATGGAGGACTGTTCAGTTTCTTCAAATCCCGCTTTATTATTTTCGCTTCCAATTTAGATTCTATCGTTTCACCTTATTTTTGTTTTGGATGATCGTACAAAAGCCTTATCAAACTTGATTCAAATCTTCGGGTTGAAAATACACTCCCATTGATCTGCCTGTCAATGAGTACGGTGTTGTATGGATGACAGGGGAGTCTGTCAGGATTGAAAGCCATCCTGCTGACAAACAAAAACTAATGGGTGAAATGTAAGGGATCGGTTTCACAATAATCAAGTCTTACACTGATAGCCGGTACTGGAAGATATAACAGGGTGGAGTCCGGAGTAGTCGCAAGACTGGACAAGAAAGCACCCAATGCACTCGGCTGCGGTTCGGATGGATTAACATGTTGGTCTGAGGTTAGAAAACGAAGAAGCTGAGGGATTACGAAAGCACGAACTTCCGCAACACTCAGATTCTGAGAGCTGTTCGTTAGCGGATCAGCACTAGCCTCATCTACTGGCCCAAAATTCAGCGTCGGTGTAACACAGTCAGAGTCTGTGGTCGAACTTGATTCTACAGGCGTCTGCCGTAACAACAGGCGGTTCCATAGTTGTGGCCAAAGTTGGGAGAAAAGGTGGCTGGCCAAAGCTGGAGACCGATGAGCCAGACATAACACTCCTCGAAGACCTTCACGAAAGGTTACCTGGTGGATAAAAAGATATACGAAAGGTTTACTAAGTTTCAGGATGTAAATCTGTTTATGATCACTTGTATAAGGTAACGGTCAGACAGACAAGAAAAAACGAAAAGTCAAAGGATGTGATCAAGCTGATGAGGTTTCATTTGATTACTATTCAAGGGAATGGACGCATAAACTTGGCCGGAAAACGACTGGACATAGGATATGAGGTCTTTCTTACTGACTGAAAGTTTTGCAGCTAATAATGCACTGAAAAATATAAAGATGGTATCCACCGGTAGAACCGAAAATATTGGTTACCATCGAAAGGCGGGCTGCAATAAATACATCCACGAATTAAACAGTCCATGCAAAGGCCCCAAAGCCTCAGGAAAAAGGATTGGAAGAAATAATATAAGTTTTAGGAGAGGGAGAGCGCAAAGCGAGTGTTACGAAATTTAGCTATCCACCTTCGTGTAACATCCTTTTGTTTGAAACGGTTTCGTTTTGTTACTAAATACTATAAATTCAGAAGCGCTCGGTCGTTTACTGGCCTATGCAACTTTTGTTTTCTCATAAAGACAAACAAATGGTTTCCCCGGGTGTGCAATTCGTCAATAACTAACTGGCTGACATGGTCGTGTCGGTACACAAACGAACAAAAAAATAACCAGATTGTGCTTATTAGTGGGAATAAAGTAGTCCCCAACCAATACCAGTGTGTAAATGTACGACCAAAATCGAGTGTTAGTAAGGTGAAAATTAGTTTCGGAAAAACTATAGCAGGGTCAAAACATTAGAGATGGAGAAATTATTGGAAGGGTCGTTAAATAGAGACTAGCGTATTTTGAACTACCTGGATCAGTTGTCCAGGTTTTGAACGGCGCCGCAGCTGTGCGACCGAGTGATCCGAAACGATAAAACGGATAGTGGTGAGCCGTTTCGTAGGTCTATATCCAAATAACTACCAATCCTCAAATTCGAGACATCTTGTCAGACACCTGGCACAATTGTAGATCAATCTTAGGCATTACTAGTTTAAATAGCACCGAAGCGGATGTGGAAGACGTTTTGCTTCAGCTTCCTTATGCTGCGGAGGCGAGCTTGCTGGTAACCTGTCCTGCTGAATGACGACTTGCTCCGTACGAATCGCCCTCTAATAGACCGTATAGTTATTTGCCCCTTTGGAAGTACAAAAGGGCTAAATTTATGTGGAATTTTCGGAGCCTGGCAAAGGAGAGGGAGTACAGTACATCTTAGAAACTTGTCTAGAGTCTGAACTGACAAGATTCTTTGAAAAAGGTGGTCCTCTTACCTCTGAGGCAGCCCGAGTGTATTAACACACTCAATTATGTGCTAAATCTACGGAAAGAGGGAACGATATTTTGACAAACAGTTAGGATAATAATAATAATCGTTCAAATGTAGCACCCTTTCGGTGCCTAACTGCAATGCCACCAGGAGGAAGCACAAGGGCTAGGATACTGCCAGGTTGCCCAAGCCTAAACAGGGGAAGTCGAGAGGTAGAGGTCAGGTTTGAACCACGGACCTTCCGGTCAGTAAATTCGCGCTATAACCACTTGGACCGAACGGTCATGGAGGCACACAGATGAAGGTTGGTAACCACTGTCGTGAATCAAAGGGAGCCAGTCGATGCATAGGTGCCAAGTGGTCTAAGATGAGCATTTTATTGAGGAAACTGAACTGGCACACCTGTAGAAACGTTGGCCGCCCCGCATGGAAACTAATTGTTGGAACGCCATTTGTAATTATACGGAGACCCAAAGCAACCGGAAAGATGACACACACCTTGACAACAGCAATGGTAATTTTCGTCATCTGCGTCTGGGTAGGTGAAATAACTTATGAACGACTTATGGAGATGCAACTTTGCATGCGAACGAACAATGGAAGGAACCCAGATAGTTATGCCACTTAGTTGTTTGGAGAGTGCTTGAGCTTATCTGTACGTTGTGATGATACAGAGACCATACACCGAAAGTGACTCACGCGACCCATGTCTTTTAGCCCTCTAGTTTGCAGTTCCAACAAACTGTTAAGTTCCGATTGTGAACTGGACATGGTCTTGAACAATTCGGACTCCGATCGAATCAAGGTAGTTTGCTCGGTGACTGGGGTAAGAACAGGTGGGACAGGAAAGCAGTTAGAGGTGTCCGAAAGACACGGTGGAAGAGTCGTGTCCACATCACAGAGGAGAACCTGGAATGAATAACAAAAAAATGCAATAACCTGCAGGATGACCAATTGCAGACATTTCACTACTCCACATTAATGAGGTATAGAAAAGATCACATATCTGGGCGTCTTAGTAAGGATTTGTGTGAACTGGCAGACGTAAAAATTGGATACTATTTACAAAACAAAAACTGTGAACGCGAAACGGAACAATAAATTTAGCTGCGTCCACTACAATGACAAGTGTAAAATCGTTCAGCCGCAATTTTAACTTCACCTATCCCACTTAGTTGAATGGAAATTCGATTGCGGTTAACTGTACTCTAGAGGTGTAAACAAAGCTCGCCACGCATAAATAAATTGATAAGTTTAGTTTGACCAGAATGAGTAGCCATACTGAACTTGAAAGCAGGCCACAAGACAGATTTCATGACCTGGTCACCGCTGTTTCAAGCAAATTGTACATCAATAAACGAAGGCAGAGAAGAATGGTGAAGAAAACCTGGACAAACGTTCATCCGTAGTATTCCTTAGGTGCACAGCCACTCCTGAAAATCAAAGCACGAAATCTGGGAGGTTGTCACCGTGTCCAAGGCGAGACAGGAGCATTCGAGAACCCGAGGTTGGGTTCGAATATGAAACTGTCTGGTTACTAGTCAGTGTCAATTTAAAATGTTTAAAAATGTCTGTTAAGAGATCAATGCATGTAAATACTTGTAATGCACAATGAATTGACCGCACCCTCCTGAAAGAGTGGACACAAAGTAATCAAAGCATACGCATGCAAACCAGGATGAAAAAATAAACACTCACATCGAGGAACAGGGACAACCAAAACCCGTCACGAAAGTGTGCCTCATCCCAGTTGCATGAGACAAACAGGAAAAGCAGACGAACCAGGAGGGACGCAGATTGGCACACAAGCGGAGAGTTCATTTCGAGCAGGTCAGGTTCTCTGTCCCCAGCGGCATCCGTTGCAGGACGTGGTGACGAGGCAGCGGAACTAGACTCGTTCAGAGAGGCTTCTGTAAAGGTGACATCCGGGTGTGACGTGGTGGCATCAATGCCCGCAATTTTCGCACCCGATTGGAGCGGAAACTGAAGCTGCGATGCTTCCAAGTAGAGTGAGGTGAACTTCTCACGAATGTCAGGAAATGGTGCGAGCAAACTACAACAAAATGCCTGTTCCAGTTTCATGTATAGTTCTTGATTCCTGGATAAGTTTCCACTGATGTAGACCTAGATGACGAGAAGGCAGGATAAATAGTCATGACTCCGAGAAATAGTTTGTTTGGAAGGCCTTAGGAGAAAAACTGAATGCGATATCTTAGGAATTGAAAACCCGCCCAGCCGACACAGTTCAAAGGCTACTCCTCATCCGCTACTGTCAAGCCTGTAGGTGGTTCAAAAATGAGCGAGCTATCATATTGGTGGGAGTACGTACAACAATATATCTGGCGCACATTTGCCTAGATGTATAATTTAATCTTTAAGGGTACCAGTGGGTGCTGTTCGTTTGTGATAAACCAATCAACCTTAAACTAAAGGCGAAATGTGACTAGATAGATCTACCTGCCGTAAGAACGGACCGGCTAGTTGAGAAGCAGGACTGATCTGGGTGCAAGTACAATATGTGGCAGCTAAAGGTGTTTTTTTACGCTACTGATTAGTCCAGACAACGAATTAGTGGTGCGCAGTTCATCACTATAATTGTTCCTGTGAGTGAATTCGGTAGAACACAACCTACCTGGCTGGATAGGCGTTGTAATAAACTTTTTGCAGTCTACACTAGTGTTGTGACTTGGTGGACGATCATGCAACTCTGTATCGGTCCCTTGGCTTCCTGCTCCACCCACTATCGTATATCAAAAGGCACGGCAGCTCTACACAGCCCCTTATGGATAGGGTAGTCACAGAGTGTTCCACAAGGTCGTGCCAGAATGTCCGTGAGGGGGCGAGAAGCGTCGAGTCAAAGGTGCTTGACTCGGATTGGCTGGCATTCTGACCAATCAGGGCAGGCCTTCGTCTGGCCCGTGTCGTGCACGTGACATCCGTCCAAATGATGTAATGTTCGGTTATTAGGGACGGCTGGCCCCCGAACAACTAGTGATTTGTCATTTGGAGTGACGAACACATTCAACTGCCGCTTGTTGATCGATTTTTTAGGATTAGATCATTTGGTAACTTTAAAAAACATTGGTTTTTCACGGGTAGCTTGCATGCTTCTTCGATGAAAACCTTCCAAAAACCGTGGTACGCCAGGCGCAACGTGAAGAAGCTGTAGAAATGCACGTACATGTTGCTTTTAGAACCTGCAGTCGATCTATTCAGACTGTTGTGTACTTTTTAATAGTGCCTCCCAAATTCGCTTCAGGATCTCAGGTCACGTCGCGTCGGTGTACCAAATCGATCCGATGTGAAGCAGAAGGCAACCATCTGCATTATGGAAGGTGAAGGCCGCATTAGTCGACCCTCCACACAAATACACAATTCGCTGCTGATGTTCAACCGAGGGTAACCGAGTGAACTGGCCAAATAATTAGCGGCGAATCAATATCTGAGCATTTTTCGGTGAACACGTATCCCCCAAAGAAAACATGATGCCTCAGAAATGCATTGGTTAAGCACTCAGGCTCCATTGATTCAATTTCGCAGCGTAGCTGGCCAAGACAAATAAATACCTGAACTGATAACACACTATTGCTCTGAGAATAAGTGAATAAAGCTTTCGCTTTTATAGAGCAAATAAATTCCTTTCTGGCTATGGGCAATATCTGCTTGATATCGTGCTAAGCGACGACTTTAGTAGTTAGACGGTACGAGAAAATACCTGGGTTATGAAGATCGACAGAAGTGTGCGATGGGTGCGTTTCGGTAAGTTGCAGTGGCGAAAAGTTAAAATGCAACCTGCCTGGCGCAACTAGGTCGCAGAAAGCCTTTACCGGAATAGGTGGGTAAAGTAGGCAAGCATAAATAATTACGAATTTTTGCAGAGTGCGTACTAATGGTGAAAGAAATGAGCATTTTTGAAGGGGATTGGTGAAAAAATTGTTCAGTTGTAACATCCTTTCGGTGTCTAGCTGCCACGCCACCAGAAGGAAACACGAGGGCTAGGATACTACCAGGTTGCCCAAGCCTGGACAGGGGAAGTCGAGAGGCAAAGGTCGTCTGACCTACTGAACTTCCAGTCAGTGAATTCGCGCTCTAACCGCTGAGTCATCTAGTGAACACCCAGAACCAGTTAACCCGTCTTGAAACTCTGAGCGAACACCGCTTCAGAAATGAACAGCCGTGCATCAGGTGCACGAGTATTAAATGCAAAACTCGACCAACAATCTTCGGGAAACTAGGGCCTTCGTCGTGGGCCAGTGATGGATGAACACTGGATAGAAGATGGCGTAACAGCGTAAGCGTTCAGTAAGAGGGGATGAAATAGCGGAGTAAATTTGATATTACTTATGTTGGCGACTACCGCTCACCTCATAAATGCATTCCAAAAGTTCCCGGGCCACATCTGGATTTGAATCAATCCATCGTGGGTAAGCCTGCCACAGTTTATGGAAGAAATTGACCTTCTCCCGTGCCGTTGGGGCGAAATGTTCTTCAGACTTTGGAACGTTAATCCAATCTCGCAGAATTTTTATGACGGCTCGAAACAACCTAGCATCGCGGGCACGATCGAGTATCAGACAAAGGTCAGGTCCAAATGAATTCTTACGCATCTCGTTGCTCACCACATTTAGACGAGATTTGATCACTTCAAGACCATTGATCAGTAAATCTGTCAGTTCTAGAAAAAATTGTGGGTATGGAAATGGTGTAATCTGTAGCACACACACTGTTTACAATTAACAGGAAAACAATACGAATCACTACCAACTTTCTGCGTTGCCGCTAGGGTAGTAAACGATGGCTTTTAGGCTCGAATTTTGATTTTGATTTCTTAAGTAAAATGGGCACTCCCGGTTTGGTAGTCATTACGGTGAAGGAATGACTTACGAGCACTAGCCACAGTGTCTTGGGAACCCGAACTGTATCCAGGGCTGATGACATCTTGAATGAGGCGATGGGTCAGTTTCACCAGCTGGACCAAACTAGTCTTGCGAGCAATGTGGGTTTTGGTCCACTACAATAGATGGAAGACGGAAACCATACCTTATCAGCGGGATAGAATGTCTCACTGAAGGGAGGAAGACAACTAGCGAAAATTCGAGCAACATACAAGAAATACGATGTCAGTGAGATTCAAACAGTTGACTCACTTGTCACTATACAATGAAAACGACTCCTGAATGGTCTTTAGGGTAGCAGAATAGATATCAAACAATTCCGCGTATGCTGTGATCTTTTGCCGATGAGAAGCGTCTGCAGGGAAACGTTCAAGAACGGCACGAAGTAGGTTGGAGCAGGACCGGATGAGACGTACATTGGCCAATTGTCGAGTGAGTAGAGTACACAGCCCCGAACTGAAATGCTTCACATTCTGCAGCAAAGTAGGGCTTTCCTGAAAGAAGTGAAAATAAAGCTAGGCGTAGTGTCGAAGGCAGATATAACAACCCATTCCGGAATGATGCATTGAAAAGACATGGACTAGAGGTTTCCGACGTGATGCCATGGAACTAAAGCTCTTGATGCTTCATTTAGAAGCACGCGCAAATACCCCAATATCCTAAGGCGATTAAATCTGATGGCTACTGAAAGAAATAAACCATGATTTCGTAACTAGAGGGCATTTTTTTCGAATAGATACCTGGTGCACCAGTCGTGGAAAGTATCCAGCACCATAAACTATGGTGACTGTCACGTGTTACGCATGCTAAGACAATTTACGGAGACTAATGTTATTCTCTTTATCTCTAACACAATGGACGGACATCGTGTGACACACAGACGGTGTAAGAGCATGCGCAAAGTTTTGGTGGTGTTGGCGCGGCTGTCTTCCATAACTGGGTTCACATGACCCCAACTGAGGTTGGGATATGTTATATGGCACAACTGCTAACCAATTTAGGCGGTGTTCGTGCGGTCAATTTGTCTACATTTGCTGGCACAGACTAACGCCAGATATGCGCCTGTCTAGGCTTTTCTTTCTTATACCTCAAAAATTTTGGCCGCACGACGGCGAAGCATTAGTGTCAACATTGATGTTGTCTACGAGGACAGTAATTAAGCCTGACTGACGATAACGGGTCTTTGTTTTCTGCGCAGTGCGGGATATCAAAATTTTCGAAAATATAAAATGAACCTCGGGGGAAAACATGGATCGCTGCGAGGTCGTTGCATGTGCACCTGGTTCTGCAGAGGATACAGGATGATCATACATTCTGCCAACCAATTCAAGCAAAGTTAACCACGATGCCTTACAACTGCTATTCACCACTTAACAATACAAAAAACAGACGCTGTGCTACCTGACACAAAGTTTCATCTAGAAAGGGCATTCCATTACCTGCTTCATGTTTCCCTATATAATTCTCACTCGGCATCCAGCCTTGAATAAACCGTACGATACCATGAAAACAGGTCTGTCCTTATATTTGCATCCGATTAAAAATGGTTGCACAATGGAACTAACAGGTAAAACCTGCTTGGTATTGTGAATATAACATAGGTCAACATAAAAAGGCATAGTAAATCTTCGACAAAGGGAACTTTCCACGCGATGAGGCATTCCACCAAAAGCTGAGTTATCCTAATTTTGTAGACCCACGTTTTTTTCATCCAAGGGTGCTCCACATAATCGACTGAAGAACACCACTAACCGGATTAAAAAAATATACAAACAACTTCACGCTAAAAGGGTCACTTGGTTGGGGTTTAGAATAAAGATGTTTAAGTTATCTTGAGAAAGCACTCAGAAAGATTCTAAAAAATTTTCGACGGCCAGCGACCGGTTTCGCCCTTTTTAAGACTCATTAGCTAGGAGAAGGCCCGAGTTTCCTGCAAACTTATTTCAATCGATTTCACACCTGTCCCAGAACCGTGTATGCAGCTGACCTCTGTTCATCAGACATATTGTGAAGCCTGTTGGCTTAATAATGTAACCAGTACCAGGTAGTAAACACCAGAAAGAGAATAGGATCAAACCGTTAATCTGGTGGACGCGGTTGCGGCAGTCAAAAGCGCATTTCGAGTGGTTGTAAGCACTCTAAACTCGCACGCTGAAATCAAGCAATCATTGGATTTGCGAGACAATGTGAGAAGGTAAGAGAAAGATCTGGAATTGGATGCTGGTGAAAGAGGATTCATGAAATTGTGCATAGCTACAATCAGAACCACATTAATAGTCGAGAGCGATTCGGAGACGAACAACAGTAATTTACCCAGAATGGTAACATCGTACAGTTCTTCGATAAGTTTGAAATTTCTTGTTTGACGCATTCTGACCACTCATGGCACGTGTTTTGAAAAATACGGAATCAAAAAGTGAGCGACATGGACAAAGAAGCAAATAACGCTATTTCTGAAAGACCCTCGAAAAATGGTGTTTTAGACGTTTAGGGGGCAAATAGGTTTGGAGAATAAACGCGACGGTGAACGATTTTCAAAGGTTCCAAAGGCATTCTATGAGGGGATGATGTATCGTTTGGTCAGTCAGATTGGGTTTCGTGTGGATGAAAATGATATTTAGAGACACCCTCTAACATAACCAAATGGCGTTATGTTTATTCAATACATAGGACGTTCTACTCTCCTAGATTACCTTGCTTGTCGAAGAGCCTGGTCAGAATATCAATAGAGTGGACATTTCGACAGAAAATAATGCGCGCGCAGAAACCAGGTACATGACAATCGTTAACACGTAAGCTTGGAAATTTTGTTGTGGAAAACATGAAATCTTGAGTCGGAAAATACGGACCCCTGTTGATTGCTCGTCTGTCCACAAACCAAACGGCTGAAATCCGTGGTGGATGCAGTGGCTTAACGAAATACAACAGACGCTACAAAAGTGTTGTCCACATGACATACCAGGGACGTGAACAATATTCGGAGCACCTCTAGCGCCATCAACAAATTGGTGGTCTGTGTGGTTCCAAGACTTCCACTTGAAGCATTTCCTGCATTGGATCCGGATATGTTACTGCCGGTAACGGTCGATGCCGATGAGACGTTGGGAGCACCAGATCCGCTGGGACCTGTGGCAGAAACGGCCGTGCTGGATGGATTGGAGCTTGAGTTATCCTCAGGAATAAAGTATCGGTCGATAAAGCCCAAGCGAAGTTCACAAGACTCAGTACCCCATACATCTGCGCGTAGTGCGAATTCCAACTGTGACAAGGCACGAGTGACGGAGGCCTCAGACATATTGCCATTCTGGCTTGTATCGACTGCCTGCGGAATAGACAAAAACAGTGCGATGAATCCATATTCGGATAAATGGACACATGTTGAGCAATTCAAAAAATATGGGCCAAATTAGATCTGTAACATCCACTTCAGACAGTCTTGCACTTAGACAATTCACTTTAGCGGCTTTTCGCGGACGGTTCTAAGGTCCCCTGCGTGACAGCAGAAAACTGTGCTCTCGACATCAGATAAAAAGGCACTACGTCTGTGACATAAAGTAAAAACCCCAATTGGAACTATGGCATACACGAATCTTTGAATGCTCGTTCAAAAACAGTAGGCTAGTGGTTGCCAAAGACAAGTTGAAGAAATTAAGCGTTTCCCGGTTGAAAAAAATAAAAGCAGAGGAAAACAACCCCGTTTTTATGGGCTGATGATCATCACTGGGTTGTGAAACCCAATACAAGTTTATCGACTAACCACATGGTCGTCCAGCTGCTGCTACGTAACAGTTAGGAGAAACGTTGTAAACGGTAGCACCGAACATGACACCTTGTTTTTGAATGACCTTACTTACCTGGCAAGCGAATCGAATCATTAGATTCAACAGCTGGTCGCGCTGGGCTTTGTCTATCGGAGCACCTTCAGGCTGAAACGAAGAGAATGAAAACACGGATAATCGTGGAGTGTCCTATACTTTTGAGATGCGAGTGAAACCAGTCAAACGCTAACACGGTAGCAGGGCACACTAAAAACCTACTAGAGGGACCGGAATTTGAGAACTGGATTGTTCTGGATACAAATTTTCAACAGAGGCACTGACAGACGACGTGTATTCTACATCATCCATACCCGATTCGAGCAACACTTGTCGACATCTGTGGTCCCATCGAGCTGCTGTATCGATCATGTCTAGTGCGAGCCGCCGTTGCTCCACGGGGAGCTGTAAATTGAGTGGGGCGAAAAATGAAGCCATAGGTTAAATTGCTATTTGAAACAAACTGAAAACATTTAAGACAACAAGTAATCCCCACCGGTGAACACAGGACTTACTTGTTGAGTAGAGAGACGCGAGATGATGAGAATCAGGTGAGGTAAGAGTTGGCGACGGATGGGGTAGTATAGGTCGGCGTGTCGCACAATTATACCACTAGGGAGAAGAATAAATAAGAAAATTCACGAAGCCTGTTAGAACCTCAAAAGCAAACAGATTGTTGTTTATAAGAACTAGATTTGAACGGATTCAGGAAAGCAGAGATTGAATGAGCAGTTAACAAAGGGAAACTTACAGGATATGTATACATGACTGGATGCCGTGATCCTCAAGCATGATCTTGCGCGTCGTAGAAGCCAAAATTTGCTATAAGGTGTGAAATGAACATCGGTCACTAGTGTGAGATCTACGTGAAAATGAAGGACGCCTATAGTTTCATAAAATGTGCTTCGACGACCACACATCCACCGAATGACAAGATCGTGATATTGACCCGAAAAACAGTTGAAGACAATGTTCAATCAACAACATTCCTGTATGCCCTTTCGTGCACAACGAACCTTAAGACTGTAGTCGCCAGAGAACCTACTCTAATCACCGAACATAACTGAACACCGAAAAGGATCGCCCGAGTAAAAAAACAGAGGATGGTTGAAATCAACTGTAACTTTACGTTCTGAAAGTGTTCGCACGGGCAGATACAATAGTAAGACATCCAGCTCGTCCCCCGACGTTTGGAGAGAATGCTATCGGCAAACAGGGCCGGCAAATAAGGCAAAACATGTACTAGTGGTGAAAGGGGCCAGAACGGAAACAGGAACACAACACACCTGCTCATCGGGTCCTTGCACCCAGGCAGGGATCAGAACGTCCAGAGCTGGGTTAACAATCTTCTTCGTCTCTGTGTGAGTGCCTTTGGCCAAGCAATGAAAAACCTGAACAGCCATAGATTTAACCGCGTCAAATTTGGAAATCAAATGGGCCAACAGCTGCAGACCGGTGTACTTTTCTTGTAAATCAACCACGCTCAAGCTGCTGGTCGTGCACGGCCAAGCGAAACTGATCAGTCGTTCGAGACGAGAACTTTGAGGGCTGTGTTTAAATTAAAAAGAGAACAGGATAAAAAGAGCCACATTGAGAAGAGAAAAGCAAACAGAATATACGACACAAAGGGCAGAAAACACAATACACTGCGTGGCGAAATGATTGTCAGCCGGTATCTCTCTATATCCAACTCAGACCCGGTAAGACTACAAGGCAGTCTTCACGGAACACTTCCCAATTTCCTTGTTTGCTTGGGGTTTTTGAAATGGTAGTACGGCACCCAGAACAAATGACTTAAAGTAAGCCCTTCTAGCAGTTCTTTCTAAACACTGTCATGACCCAACTAATATTTTGCATGCACGACCACACATTGATGCAACCGGTAACAGCTATACACTGAATGGACATTTTGTGACATACTGCACTCCCCGCATAACCGAACAATACAACAAATTGTTTATCTTTGAAAGACCGACAAACATCGCATTATGCTTCAAAAAAGAAATTTATTAAAATTAAATGTATACGAGGCATCTGCCAAAAACTTGTAACTCATGAAACTTGGGTTCCTCATTCGAGGATCTTAGATGGTTTCAAACGCCTGATAACCCATGTCTGCGTAATTCTTCCGGTTACAGGGTATAAAAAACGATAGTGGAACGCAAAGAAACAGGATCGCTAGGTCATCAAATAAAACTTGGAAATGCGAAAGCACTGCCCTCTGCTCCAAGCCACTATTGATGAGGGTTTGGTGGGGAAAAGACCATATCGCATCAATATGAAGGGAAAGCAGCTAGTGGGTATAGTGAGATCTTTACACTTTCTTGTCTGCGCTAGAGTGACACTCCTTGAACATGGCTAGAAGCCCTGTGGAATAAAGTAAGTATCCGAATACAGTGAACCTCATGTCTAGGTGAGGTACCTTGTGCACTGGGTTTATGTTAGGTAGGGTTCGCGGCGGACGCCGGATCAAACTCGCTGATGGCATCCCACTTCGACATAGTGCTCAAATGTGTTTATTCCAATGCTAATGCAAAGTGAACGCACGTACTTCGTTTCACCTAGGAACGTAGGACTTCTATTTTCTTTTTCCTCCAATTCTTTTCTAAGGTTCTCTTTTGCTTGCGTAACAGCTACGCACCAACACGTATAACGGGTATATCGCTGTTATCGATGAGGATGAGGATCGTTCATTGTTTCATTCAACTTTCCTATCTTCACCATTTATTATCACTTCAGCACGTCCCAGCGTTTCCTGCCGCGTGCGTCAGAGGCCTAATTATCGACCAATCGCCTGATAGGGCCACGGAATAAAGGATCAAATATAACTATGACATCAGCCGTCTTACATAACATTAAACTGAAAAATACGGTCACTGACACAGCAACTCCGACAATTTGGTGGCCAAAAGGTCTCCCTTTTGGTTAAAAGACAGGGTCATATTCATGAGCGGCGACTGCAACGAAGCAAACCTTATAACCACTAACCGCTTCTTTTATGGATATGCGCGCAACTTTGCTAAAAGGAAGGTACGTGGATATCTGATGAAGGGGTCTGCCACCAAGGCCACTGGACTGAAGGGATTACTTCAGCCAAAGGGCAATCAAACAGATGGAGAATAAAGCTACAAAAAATGAGAATATACCAGAAGTAACCAACAAGAACAACCGAACTTACGTAGGCCCCTCCAAGTGAATATATTCTGGAACGTAGTGTGTGAATAAAATGGCCATTTGATAGTACATTACCCGTAGCTCTGTTGAGTGTTCAACATCCGGGTCCCCCAGAAGCACCGAAATGAAAAGGTGCACCAAGTCCTTGTCTGGAAATTAAAGAATATCATACATACAAGGAATATACATGACATTGTGAATGCACTCAATCAAATAGCGTGCATCATATAGGATGTAACCGAAAAGCCATCGGCGCGAACGTAATGAACCTAACAGGATAAGAAAACGCTTCTGTTGGGTTATATGCTAATGTGAGTGAGACAACTCACCATTGTCGGTATAGGGGTCTGGTGGCACACCAATAAATTCCTCGTGTGAGGTATTTTGTAGAGCACATGTCAAACTCGGTATCATAAGATGCGTTAGCAGTCGATACAGGTCGCCCGACGTTGTATTCCAGTTCGCACCGACTACGAACGGGCAAGGATCGACACCGTGTGTATCGGTCAAACGATGACGGACTAGGGAAACATAATGCAGGAACAGGCGACGGTGCCAGCTGATGGAGGCTGTTGGTAAGAATGTATCCAGGTAGGCGCGTAAGGGGTGTAGCCCAGCAACTGAGCGCAGCCGTGCCGAACCAATAACAACGATGAACAGCAAATCACAATTATCTGGGTCCGATCTGCAAGACACAAAACGGAAAACGTAAGAACCCAAAAGACAACTGAGCTTTCGCACACACGAAGAATGAAACACGACAGTCAACTAGCCCAGCGGAATCCTAGCACACCACTTAGGTGTGAAGTCAGGGTAGAAGTGGGGGATCAAATAAACTTCCGGACATTGATGAGATAATCGAGAGTTCAATAAGTCGGTTTGACAGAATTGCATTTCCCTTGTGAGGCGATAGGGCAGAAAATGCTCTAAACCGTCCAGCTACAATGTGACGACGGGTAGCTTCAGAGCCAACTCGCTGTAATTGATACCGGGAGTCCTCGTGATAGGTAGTTGACGTGTCAGAGGGCTACCTAACCCACACAGCTCTCTTTACCAGGTCCTTTGCTGAGTGGAAACGACCGCGATGCAGACAGCCTGTGACTTAGCAACAAAATATGAAAAAATTGACCAGGAAACTCAGTCAGGTTGAAAACTACTACCTACTTGGATGAGGAAGCCAAGACTCAACTTATCAATCACTGACATAAATGCATACATGTGAAGTTGTTCACGATCTCATTTAGACGACTAAAATGACTCAATTGTCGTCAACTCCCTTGTTCCTCTATTCCACGGCATCCCAAGATATGGTAGCGAACTACATCTGGAATATCAGCCCAAATGAAGCCCGAGGCGTTCTATGAGCTGAAAATAATCGATTCGCGGAATATTTAGGTCGCACTTCCACAACAATTTAGGAAATGGACAGGATGTCGTCAAAGACTACCACCAACCCATTTACCATAGACGACAGGTGATCAAAGAACTAAATGGGCTGCCAAACATATCTAATAAGCTAAAGGCAACGTTGCGAAAAAAGAATTCAGAATATTCCCGTGATGACTGCTATTAACTGTCGCTCACGCATGAAAAGCGCGTGAACTATAGGTTAAAATTATTCACCTATGGCACAATTTCGGTGCCTAGCCGCCATGTCATCTGAAGAAAGCACGAGGGCTGGGATACCGCCAGGTTGCCGAAGCCTAGATAGGAAAAGTCAAGAGGTAGAGGTCGGGTTCGAACCACGGACCTTCCGGTCAGTGAATCCGCGTTTTAACGACTAAGTCGTCTCAACTACAATAGTGTGGCACCTCTTCTGGTTCTCGCAACGAAATTAGGCATTTTATGCACTCATCAGTGTGATTTTGAATTTTTGATGACCGGTATTGATTTGTACGTTCCTCCATTCGTCATTAGGTGAGACAAGATTAACTGGGGTTATACTAGCGGGGGATAAGTCCTAAATAATCCGGGAAAAAGAAGTGAAGCCTTCCGAACCTGTATGTTGGCCAACAAACAATTCAAAAGAGTGAAAAAACTATAATAACTCATATATTGTACCTAGTCAATGAAGATCAGCTTCTCGTCTAATAGTGACCAGCAAGAGGCGACGCTCGTTGAAAGGCAACGAGAACGTTCTTCATCATCCAGGATTCTGGAGCGACGCCACTTTCAAGAGAAGCCAAATGGTCACTTGCCCGTTGTATCCTGCCAGGAAAATCATCGCCGCGCAGAAGAGCAGAATACGACGAGCAAGGTAAACTCTGCTTGCAAAAGTGACTCAATACATAGAGAAAGTACTGGATTGGTATGCCGTGAGTTGCGAAAGACAACACCAGGTTGGTCGTTAAAGGCTTACCTGACGCAATCCAGTAAACAGTCAAGCAGCAGACGCGGTTCGTCCCAGTGCTCCCAACACGAAGTCCCACTGGAAATCAGTAGCCCGGGCTCCAGAGAGGAGTCAGTCACCGGCTGATGTGCAGATGCAGAGTAGCCAGCGTCCGTTTTCTCTTCGGGCTCAACGAATTCCATTCCTGTCGGTGTGAGCGAACTGCTTTCGTCACGCAGACCGCTGTTCAAAGTTACAAGAGTCAAATGAGCTTGACGCCTAGCAAATGCATCGGAGCGCCAATAACTTAGCAGGGAAGCGACCACAGGATGGCAAGACGAAGAGCATGACTTTGAACCAGATGGGCTGCCTAGAGCCTTGTAACGATATTTCGATTTGGGAGAATCCTCGGTGATAGACTGTGTGTGGAGTAACCAGTTGGGAAACAAATTTCGCAGCAAATGCACGACTCGGATAGCTAGATGTCTGGGACAAGCAGCCGTGAGTGGAGTACCATAGCGAGGCAATAGACAACTGCTTTCGGCTGCAGTGGAAGCTAGAAAAGAAAATACGTGAGCGCTTCAGGTATTGAATAATCACATTTTAAGAGTACAAATAACTAACAGGCAACTCCAAATCTATTCACTAGAAAGGAACTTGTCTGATAATCACCAAGAATCGATCTGCACATTTGTGTGATCGCGTTTATGCGTTTGTGCAAACTGCAGTTGGCCCTATTCTTGAAGACTTACGCAAATTTGACGCTCTAAGTAATCAGGATACACACCTTGAGACATTTCACACTGTCTAACGCAATGAGGCGTGTCGAGGCCCAATCGAATGTGATGTAAAGCGGATCAAACTAATTGACCGTTTTTAAAAGGAAAACACAAGTTTAGCAGTTCGCAAGTTGTGCTGATTTCTTGGTAGCAGTCGTTCGGCATGAAGAAAATAGAAACGTGAGCAACCGGCGCAATACACAACAAGAATTTCTGTACAGCTGCGGCATCCATATTGGGATTCAATTGCAGTGTACATCCCATGAAATTTCAAGGTGTTTTGAACCTGCGACCTTTCAGCTGGTAGTTTGGACAATTAAGCCCCGACTGATCACTATTGTGATTAACTCACACAGACAGGATATGACGCCACTCATGCTTCAATCACGCAAGGCACATTATGTGATCACGTACTGAATGGCTCTCCGATTGAAGATTTCTCAGATCAAGGTTTCAGGCGTTTATGAAACCAATCTCCCTCCGAGATACTCATAGACTGGAATTGTGAGCGGACTGTTTAAGTGCGAGTTAATCCGAATGCTGATCAGTCACCCGTGATCAGGCGGTTAGGCGTTCAGACTACTAGCAGGGAGGTCGCGGGTTAGACACTCCATTAAGTTTCGTGAGATTCGAATGTATAATGATCCCCAGTAAGAATAACACACTCGGACAGTGTTTCTCGGCTTTCCAGCATACATTGGTTTCACTCAAAGGATATCTCAAATCAGAATTATCTTATCTCCTCAAAACTACCATCAACAAATAATTTCGGCAAAACTGATCGCATTGAGTGTAGTCTTCCAAATTACTCAAAATCTGCTCAACTTATCCGAAACGTGATCTCGAATTTAGACGCAAAATCTAACTGTCACTATCATATGCTAATCGACAGAGCTAAGATAGTTTCCTAGACGGGAAATACCATCTACAAGGTTGCCGAAAATTCTTCGACAACCGACGACCAGTTTCTCCCATTTTGGGATCAAGTGTGAAACGGTTAAATTGTTTGGGGGCGAGATGGCCCAAGTGGTTAGAGCGCAATTTCTGACCGGAAAGGTCCGTGGTTCGAATCCGACCTCCGCCACTCGACTTCCCCTATCTAGGCTTGGGCGACCTGGCAGTATCCCAGCCCTCGTGCTTCCTTCGGGTGGCATGGCAGCTAGGCACCGGAAGGGTGCTACAGCTGAACGCCTTGTTTCTTTTAAATGATTTGAGCGCTAACTTACTGAAAGGAAGGTCCATGGTTCGAACTGGACTTCTGTATCTCGACCTAGGATTGGGCAAACTGGCAGTATCCAATCCCTCATGCCTGCCTCTGGTGGCGTTGGAGCTAGGCACCCAAGGGGTGCTATAGCTGAAGGATTTTTTTCTTGGGGTCGTTGGGTAGGTTGTGCGCAATCGGTGAAATATGCTCATTAGTACTTTACTTCGATGTTGACCAAAGAGTCAACTGAATCACTGGTTTGTGATGTTTTTCAGATCAATATACTGCTCAAATGCCACATGTTTCAGTTGGTACCATTCTTGAGATATCAGCGTATATTTTCTTGACTGAATATACAACCCACCAACTTAATTTTCGAACGAGTGTATTTCACCGATTTCCTTTAGACGCAATCCGGATATTTAGCATTATGTGAAAGCCGCTTATCGTAAAATGTTCACCCTTCACCTACTGGTCCTAAAGAACGACGTGTCAAATGCGAATGTATCTAGGTTACACACAAGCCATGCTTAAATCAATGTAGGTTTTACGTGCATCTATCTTCTTTATGATTGTAGGGCTTAGAATCATTTGAGATTACACCACTTGGGAATTGACCAAAGCTAATTTTGATCTCACTTTGAGGGAGAAGGTACTGTAAGCAGGTGCGGTAGGCTGTGTAAGCTAGTCGGGTTGCTCGCTAGATTTGCCGAAAGCATATCGCTGAAGTATACGACCGTTCCACTGGGAGGTAGCGGTGACACCCAACCACATGGTACTATTGAAGCGACAATGAACACACTGTTTTTTGAAAGGCTACACTAATGTCCAGCAGACAGTGGAAACGCTGCTAAATTCTAAATAACATTCCTGGGCTGGAAACAACATGGAAAACTTACACTTCTGTTCCGAAATTTCCGTTGGACGGATAAGATCCGACAAAATATGATGGTTGGTTTTTAAATACTCCGCCACTGACTGTCCTTGAGCGCAACCCACGACGTACTGACAAGAGAAAAAAATTTTGTTTCCAAGCGAGGATCGACGTACTGACAAGAGAAAAAAACTATGATTACCGGAAAGCGAGGATCACATTGTGTACATCAATTGGAAGGTGTTGCAGATAGTAATAAAAATTTGGAACAAAACCAGCTACGGTCTGCAGCTGTTAACGTCACTATCCACAATCTATTGAGGGAGATATAAAATAAAAAAACAATGATCGAAGATGCTGACGTTGTCGCCCATGGGATAGCATGCATGTTCCATCAACGAGGACCGAGCACAATCGGCTTACCAATAATATGCGCTGCGCATGAGCATCGTACGGCCACTTGGATCCAGTAAGCAGGTTTGCACAGGTCTCAGCCGGATAGCGGGCCAAAAACCTAACCAGAGGTAGACGTAAAGGACTGGTGGGTTCAATGTTGAGCGCACGCTCAGCACGTACCACAAGTTCGATCAGCAACGAAACGTGCTTGGCCGTAGCCAAAGGTATCAGATGAAACAGGTCGACCAGCACAGCACACAACTCCAACGTCTAGACAAATGGAGTATCGAGATGGAAAGTGTTAGAATGCGTTAAACATTAATAACGATACAAAAAATAGAAAATATTTCTTGATGCCTACGGCAAAAAGCCCATCAGTGAAGAGTTTGTGAAACACAGTTGTTTTGTCTGAACCAAGAAAAGAAGCTTCGCCAGGTCTTGTAGTTTTAGTAGGTGCTTCATACTCGAAGACAAGCCTGTTTTATTCGTATCTTATCAAAGCGGTTGCCACCGTTTTCATGTCGTCATCGGCGTACTTAGGCCTACAGCCAAACTGTCAAACATAGTCGGCGAAGAAGCCCGTGTGGTCCAAATACTGCGTCCATGCTCTCAAACACAACAACGGGCATCTCACTATCATAATAACTCGCAGGTTGACATTTGAACCATTGTTCATTCATGCCTAAATAGCTACTGTTTTTTCCCGTGGAGGACTAAGCTGCTGAAACTGAGTAAATTGACTAGAAGACAGCTCATGAATTCAGGTTATTTCGCTCAGAGTACACACAAAGTTTGTCAGACTATGCTACATCTACTAAAGTACATCAGATAGGCCACGATGATGGCCAACAGTCGGGTCATTCTGCGGTGCCAATAAATCAGGAATTATTTCTATATTGGCAATACATAAAAATTGTAAAATATTCATGTTGCCACTATATGCACTGCACAGATGCCTTTCGATATTCGACTGTATGACCTTCCAAAGCATGTGTTTTTGGGCCTGTCAACGAGTTAAAATTTTGCTCAACTGTACCTATGGATTCTAACCTTCCAAAATCAATGTACTCACGGTATCATGAAATAGGTTTTAACATCATAAACTCAGCTTTTCTCGCTACCCATTTAATATAATATCAAACACTTCTTCATGTATAATACAGCTGTTAGTCGCTATTCCCACGTTGGGCTGACATCCATCCTATACGGACTGTTCGGATCGACTAATTTTACTTAAAGCACCTTCACTGTTAACAAGTTCTACGTTTCAGATCCTCTCAAGCTTGATGTGGGTTTTTTCATTATTGTATTATTGTTTTTGCAATCGTTTCTTTCCCGATATCGTCCGTTGTTTAAAAACTCAACATACTATGGATCTTCAAATACACACAAATATACACATGGCACTGTTGAGTACAAAAGGTTGTCTTCCTGGCGAATACTCGTACCCTGTCCCATCTCATGTCCTAGCTGCCATATCAGACAAAAGGGATTTGGAATAATAGGTGCTCGTATCTTGTCCTCAAATGGTAGGCTATTCCGCGAATGTCACAGAAACAATGTTTATGAAGTATTATCCCACAAACATCAAGTCCCCATTTATCGACCCTAACGTGTGAAGGGCATATATGCTGAGAAGCTATCTGAGGAAACAACCAAAGAGACATTCACTTACTGGAGGAGTCAAAGTAGAGATTGAGGATGCATTTTGTTTGGTCGCCAAGCTGTCAACCAGGGTATTCAAATGTGACTGCAACAGAACAAATCATACAGACAAGGGATAACTGGATTGATGATAAATGCTAGCATAGCAGTTCTTTACGCCAGTGGAGTTGCCGGAAATAAATACTTATGAGAATGATTACTAAATGGTCATCCAGTGTCCATACTCGCAACCGCGAGGCCAAAATGAGTCGTGGAGGAAACATTAACCGGAAACCAAGCAATGGATAGTTAGCATTTGTACGAAATGACAGTATCCAAAAGGGGGTACAATAGGTCTACCGTATAACTACGGTTTGATCTTAACCAAGGAGGAAACCTCCCAGGTGACCGTACTTTATAACTGATGTGCAGGCAACTGGCCAACCATGGGTGGGGCTTAGAAAGGACAGAAGTTCGACCAGCCCGAAGGAAATGGGATTATTCTCAGAGATGCTTGACCTAAAATAAACCTGGCTGGTGTATAAGTTAGTGATTTGCTCCGTAAATACAGGTGTGCATTAATTACTTTGTCTGCATGCATGGTATATCACTGCCGTGCATCGACAAACAACGGCCGCCTTGCGCTCGATGATACTGTCCACGTGGGAACGTTTATCACTGAAAGACAAGAGCTGTGGTTCAGTGAGGCATTAGGGAGGATAGGGTAGTGAGAGCAATCTACAAGCAGGAATTTCCACATTATTGCTATCGTAGCTCTTGGCGATTATCGCAAGGGATATATGACTATGCCCATACACCTGAAGTATACTGCGATCGCAGCGATGTCATAGTATATGGGAAGATGTACACAATTAGTAACAGCCGTTGCCACTCATCCTGCTGTGCGCGAAGCAAATGCTACATATCCGTCCAGTCGTTCGGCAACAGCTCTATTTTATAGTCAAACTCATTTTTCTCGCTAGGGGGGACTAAGGGCTCAAAAGAGGGACAGGATTGGTTGATGACCAGATGGCTGTTGATCTGTTTGCCGAGCTTGGCAATTGACTTGCAAACGATGCGTCACCATACGAGGAGACATCATTAGTGCACAGTTGGGTGGGTACCTTCTGTTTGCCTTGTGCGTTTATATAGCGTCACTCCTTTATTGAAGCTACCATTTCCAAGAAGTAGTCCCACGATTCACTGGATACTTGGAATGATTATGCCATTACCACCAATGTCCGGGGCTGTCTACCCTGCTCTCCCATTTACTAATTATCCAAACTGTGGCAGCTGAAACTAACACCACTGGTACCTGACTCATCGCCGATAGACTGGGTGGGCTGTCCAAAAGGACATACAACCAAAGCAACGAATCTACGAAATTGAGAAACTGTTGGCAAACAGAGATAGATCGTTTCAGTCCCATATACAAAAAGTGGAAAGGTGGTGGGATGGGAACTCACATAGATCGCATCACACAGACGTTCGCTGAAAGTGCTTGGAAACAACTGCGCACAGTAGGATAGTTGACGAGCCGTATTTAGGCGCAGGTTAGTAGTTTGGCGAACATTTTGCAAAATCGGTTTCACATTGGCGTGACGTAGCTCAATATCAATAGGGGTGTGACTGACAAATTCTTTCAAACAGACGAAAGCGGTCTCGTGGATAGCTTCCTTTTCACAACATATACCTGGAAAGAATTTACAGTGCTTGACAACTGATATATACGACAAGACGTGGACAAAACAGAGATACCAGGAAATTTCAAAACACGGTTCCTACAAACGCAAAAAACACATACCTCTATATCACACTACAGAAAGCCATAGGACGAGATCACCACGGGATAGTTGGCTTCTTTTGAGAGGTCGCACATTATGGCTGATAACGAACGTTGTTGCAGACTTAACAACGGAAAATCTTTTCTTGGGACATATCTAAAACTAATGTGAACTGAATGGATTTTGTCATTTTCACGACTTTTGGTGAGTTGAATTTGTCCCTATACTACTTCTACAAACCTGGGTGAAAAAGGCAGATGTGCCACCTCCTCCCAGAGAATTATGAGATGTAGACCTTAACTGACGACTGGCTTACTGAGATTCTACGCGATGATGGCAAACAAGTACGGTATGCCCAATTAAATCCGGTCAAACATACAAGGGTTTCCAGCACCAGGGCAAAACGCAGTCATTCATTAGAGCCAGTTAACTCTATAAGCGTGAAACAAACGTTCTTCGGTAGACACAGAACCGGGTTTACTCATGGTTAATCGGATAGCATAGGATTGAATGACATTAATAAACATTTAAAGAAGGAAAACCACACGAACGTACCTTTAAAAAGAGCTGCCAAATTCTGAGCTTTCTGACTGGTCAGATACCACGTCAGTGATAGCACACGACAAGCTACGATCAGAAGATCCACGGAGCGAAGTCGATGGACAGTCGGCATTGGGCTACCTGCCTTGTAAGCCGACCGCGAAACGCCTAATGCGAAACTAGCACCCTCCGAAGTTGGTGTACCAGCTGGGGAAACAGTGGTACTAGGAGAGGCGGAATTACTCTGGTCGATTTGGTTAAGCAGCGCACGCACGTCGACGAGAAACGATCTATCCGCTCGTTTGGCTAAATCGTATTTGAGCAGACCAGCACCACCAGTGCACACATCAGACGGAACTTTACCGTTTCCAGATTTCGACTTAGTTTGAATACCCTCCGCTTGGCCGAAGAAGTAATTAAGTTCCTGTTTAAAATAGGATTTGAGCGAGTGAAAATTTTGAGGTAAGTAAAAGTTAAATGGTCTTAGATTCTACGAAGTTGCTCTCGACATTTGAAGAAAAAATAGTACACCTGGATGAAAATGCCTCAGTTAAATTGGTCAACCATTAAAATCTCCTTGGTACACTTGCATGGTTGTCAGTGTTTTCGGCTCACAGACCGTATGTTGAAAAAAGACAGGCCGGCGTTTCACAGTTAACTCAAGGAACATTGGTCGTCGCGTGGTTTCACCGTGGTCGCCTTACTTTCTGCATACAAGAAGACGCCCATTCAATTGCCAACTCTTGGAATCAAAAACAAGGTGGGGACTAGGCAACAAACTGTTCCGATCACAGTGCAGGAATGGTTAAAAACGCTGCCTACAAGGAATGACACTTATAACCTCTGTCGAACGAAATAAGTTGTCTGGATATAGTAGCCCTCTACCACCTACTATACTACAAACACAACTGAATGGAAATCTGCGAAAGCCTCGTCGCACGCTGTCATGCATTAGCAGCAGTAATCTGAAACACTTGAGCAGCTGACTGATCCTCGTACAGGAGAGAGGGAGACTGAATTATCGGGCAGTTTCAAACGACTAGGTGCGAGGTGGTTATAGTTGGCATACTAGTTAGTATGGTCAGCCCCACTGTGTCTGACAAACGCGACATCACTATGCACAATCGATTCCAAAAAAGCTCGTGCGAGTGTTGTGCGCGATTGGGCATATTGGACAAACGCGACATCACTATGCACAATCGAGTCCGAAAAAAATCGTGCGGGTGTTGTACGCGATTAGACATATTATCCGTCATACCGTGACTTGTGTTCGGGTCGAGTGAAACTGCTCGACTTTAGAAGTCAAGAAGTGCAACTAGTGGAAGTCTATTTTGGGTGAAGATGGTGGCTGGATGGAGCATGCCGAATATGATGAACAAAAACGCGAGGAAGGACGAAATGCAGCGAAAACTTATCCTATAAGTTGAAGGAGACTCGAAACAGACCTGACCAGGCGAAAAAGCGCTATGACAAGTGTGGAGTTTTCATTCACATTTCAACTCCACAGTTCCAACAACCGGCAGCTAGAACGGAAAATACAGCGAAATCCCTTATAAGCAATAATTTGCACTGACGGACACGTCTGCTATCCCTCAGACAGCATATAATTCAAAGTGTCAAGACATTTAAGGGACTTTCCAGAATTCCGTCACTTTACCGGGGATTTTATTAACATTGAGAATAGTACGTTCGATGGTAGGTGGACACGTACCTTATGATCCCTAGTCGATCGCGCTAACCGTAGGGAAGGGTACAAGGACAGAGCCGACCGTAAGCGAGAGTTGGAGGGAGAATAACAAGAGGTGGAGTGGAAGCCTTCCGCAGCAAAATTTTCAACTAAGATAGCTTACAAAATGTACTCGTTCTGATTTACTGTTGTCACGGTGACTACTTTGGTGTTTACTGTGCTATGAGGCGTGATCACTCGCAGGACACCATAAGGTTCAAGCATTCACCATGCTGGTGTGATTACGCAGTTCGCACAGTTACGTATGGGGTTGCTGAAAACTGTAATCGACGTCAATGGCATTCTTCTCAGTTCCTATATAGACTGCCTAAAACAGCGTTCGGAGGTATAGGAATACCTTTATGATTGTGTTAGGCTAGCACTAAGCTCCCTCCTTAGCTACTTTTATTCTTTTCTTCACAAAAACACATTCAAACAAATTATGGTTGTATGAGAGAGCAGGATCAGTGTTGAACACTGATGTTATACAGTCGATGATGATAATTAGCCGCCTGAGATTACATAAGTTTATCATTTTCGGGAACCGAGCGCATTGATTATAAGCCAAAGCTGGCCTCATTCGGTAGCCATCCGGACTCACATAAAACAGTCAGCAAAGAAAACGCTAATGCACAGGTAACTCAGCATGCTGATGAGGGACCATTCAACATACAACAGAGGTTATGTGAAGAGTTTGTGATACAACTCTACTTATGAGGCCACTGAAAACTCTCTGACTGCCCACGACTGGCTTCGCCTTTCTTGGGGCTTATCAGGTAGGCACAGCCCCTGACCTTCTGTCAGACTTATGTTCCACACGAAGCGGTATGCGATTGGTAAACACACTCAATTGCAAATTAATTGGATGTTACACGGGAGACTCAACTGAACCCCAGCTATCTCTTCAAATGAATATGGTGCAAAAAACCGTCTTGAGTATCGCTATGAACTGCCGATAAGTCTCTAAAAACCTCATGCTTGGCACGTTCTGTCAAGAAAAGTGCCTTCAAAAACAAAACTCAAGAGAAAATCTGCACCTAAGAGCTCGCAACCATTAAGTGTCACTTTTATGCTGAAAACGTCTATAGACTAACAATTTCCCTGGGCCAAATCAAACGCTTATGGTGCATGTTGTGGACAGTCTGATTACTAATTTTTTTTGGATTTCACAAGATGATGACGTCACGGACGAAGGATAAGGAAACGCGGCAGTACGCCTTGAAACAGACAATAACAATCAGACTAGTGTAGAGTAGTGACGAAGTCCAATGTGGCTGTCATGTTCGTGGAGGGAAGCCATCCGTACGGCTTGAAAAAAAGTGGTTACTTTTCCCGGTGTACGTAAGTTGCGGAGTCTCTTGTGTGCAACAACACTATTTCAAAAACTAATAGACGATACTTACTTTGGAATCCCTAGTCTGCTTACTTAGTGGCAGATTGTACTACGTTTTTTCAGGCGCTTCGCAAACAATGTCCTAAAGAAAAACGGCTCAAAGAATAATTTGTTCCCTTTTTCTCTGTGACTTTACGAATAATTTGTTCTCTTTTTCTCTGTGACTTTACGAAAATTCTACTCATTCTTGCCTGGAAATCTGTGAGGTACATGACAGGTGGACACAGTTCCGGGAAACGCTCGCAAACATTTCAGTGTAGTATACACCAAGCCATAATAACATGTCGATCGTGAAACAGATGGAGATGATAAAAATATCGTTCAATTGTAACACCATTTCGGTGCCATGCCACGCGAAGGAAGCACGAGGACTGGGATACTGTTAGGTTGCCCAATTCTAGACAGAGGAAATCGAGAAGCAGAGGTCGGGTTCGAACCACGGACCTTTCGGTCAGTAAATTCGCACTCTAACCACTGAGCCATCTCGCCGTTCAATACAAGACTCTAGGTTCCACGATGATCAAGTTGTGAACAACAAGTGGCAATACCAAACGCTGAAAAACCACCACTGTTCTAGGAATTCACATATAGGGTACACAAAACGCTTACCAAAACTGCAAGTTGGGTAGAAGCTGGAAGATCATACAATCTTGTCGGTGGCTGCGGAGGAAGTAAGTGACCCAGAGACGTGCGCCAGTGGGGAGCAAGTAGGACGGATAATGGGCGATCAAGGCGATGCGATAAAAGACACAGAAGGCAGCGAGCTTCTTCACGAACCAGAGGGGTTTCGCTCATCAAAGCCTTCAGTAACTCCAAGACCACTGCATCGATGAGGAATAGCTGTGGAATGCATTGTACATGAGAGAAGACGGGTGTACTAAAAGCTAGCCACTTCGAAATCATGAGAACGGTCCATAAAACTCACAAAGCCAGCTCTAGGTATGGAAACGGTTAGATATGAAGTCATTCAACCGCAACATTTTGATTAAAAAAAACAGTCCAATTCAAATTACTAAGCCATTTGAAATACTTAAATCGAGTGCGTCATGTGTTAGCAATCGGAAAATGTGGAAAATTGAGAACATCATTGCCAAGCAGAGCAACAAGCTCTAAGCACAACGGTTAACAAAAATTCCAAGAATATCTCCTTTAGCAAAGTTGTCTAAGCTTCAGTCTCTAGTGACACCCAGAGATTCATCAGAATCATGCGAATCCAGATAAAAAAACACTCCAGGTTCACGTTCAACTTTAAGTGAAATTCGAATTTTTATTTACCGAACCCCAAGATGGCTGGTGGTGCTTCCGCCAACATGTTTGTCTAAATCCACGTGTTTGTATAGACATTGTTAGAACTGTAGGTCAGACAACCCAGTGGATAAAGTAAAACCCAAAGTAAAGTGACCCTCTTACCGATTTGATGTTGACAGAAAATTCAGAAGGGCACGGCTTACTCGCCCTAAACGTGGGTGGATGGAATCTCAATGCTTTTAGTTTGAGCCCTGATGCCCCGAAAACATTTCGGTGCTAGTGCTTCGGAATAGCTACAGAGTTTGTGAGCCTGAGTACGTAAAAGCCGGAAGATTTTCTTTGATAATGCCTGAATAATTAATGCAAGACTTTTGCACACTACCACTTCATACTTCGAAAGACCCGGCTCATAAATACTCACAGAACCGACAAAACTGGGAAGACAAGTGACCTGTTCAACGAGAAAAGGAAAAAGAAAATATAACGGACATTCAAAACATCTGCAGCAGTCGACCAATACTGACCGGTGTCTGCTTGGAGTTTGAACACCGATCAGTTATTCCCGCGTTCGATCCGTCCAGTAAGGTTTCTTGTTCTGGGGGGTCCGGTGACCCACTAAGAATACTGGAACTGGGGTTACTGCTAGACATGGATGCACTACGACCTCGGCGAAGTTGCATGGGTCGTTTTTGATTGACTGGTGTAGATGAATTCTGGCGACGACGATTTGGAGTTGGACGTTTGCTTGAACAAGTCTGGGTTGGAGCACGAGAACTTTCATCGTCATCAAGAGGAGTGGATGGTTGTAAGGATAACACATCTTCGTTCGACGGGTCGAACACGGTCTGGATAAGCAATCGGGCGCAATCCCGAGCCATTGACAAGGCGCCCTGGCTCATTTGAGTCGAGAGGTCGTGGATACAGTGCACCAAACCGCGAAGTATGGGAATGAAGTGGATGGCGAACCAAGTTGGATGTAACAGCCGAACCAGGCAGATTACAGTGGCACAAGCACCCCACTTCACGTACCTAGAATAAAGAGGGTGGGACAAGTGGAAACCAATCTGCCGCGATGGATTCATTAGAAATCGAGGCTGTCCACTCACAGTACTGGCAGTATCTCAATTTCCTTCAAGTCAAACGGCATCTGTGCACCGGAAGATTACCAGTGCTTGAAATCATTTAGGCTCACCTAAGCCAAAGACTAGATGAAACCCTAGAAGCACAAGATCAGAGGTTGCTTGTTAGTGAGCGAATTCATTCTCACCATACTGAGGATTTTCTGCGCATTAAATGAGGACCATAGAAAAAAAGAGGGAATTAAACCACTAAACAAGCAGCAATAAAAATGACCCTGATTAGCACCTTATCTTGATGGTACGCAGCAACTTACCAAGCTGGGTGATGCAGCATGTCCACCAGCACATGCGCTATATGCGAGTACAGAGGTAGGTGAATCAGGGCTCTGTTGGCACGTTCGAAAACGCCAGTTTCGTCTGCACTGTCTTCACTGAGAGCCGAGCGGAAGACAGTCGATACTGTGCCATGAACGACCTCTAGCAAAACACACATCGGTTGGATGAGTTGCTTATCCTCCTGGCCCATTGCAAATAGGATTGAGTCAATCAGCAACGTTGCATCGAGCATGCGACGATTAGAATGACATTCACGATCCGGCTTAAAGCATACTCCATTGAGCGAGCCAACGTAGCTGGGCTCGGGAGAAACCTAATTGAGACAGAAAAAGATTGACTTGGGATTGGCACATCTAGCCCAAGATGGAGGCATTTTATCGCTCAAGTGAATAATTATCGCATGAAAAAAAACAAGGTGAGATTGAATCGAACAACACAAAAGAGGTTCAGTTATATGGACCGGACAAAAGTTAGGTTTAAGATTGCCCTTTGACCTGCTAGAAGTAGGGGATTGTTGAAAACCTGCTGGAAACTCAAGTCAGATCACATGCAGGACTTGCTTTCAAGATCCTTCAACGAGTCAAGATTAGGTTTAAGATTGCCCTTTGACCTGCTAAAAGTAGGGGATCGTTGAAAACCTACTGCAAAATTTAGATCACATTCAGGACTTGCTTTCAAGATCCTCCAACGAGTCAAGAGTGGCCTTTATCGAACTTGATTAAGGGACTTGAATTCAACAAGGTCCGACCAACAGCAACAACTTATTAGGCGACTGATAATATTATAATATCATATTGGTCCATAAGCGGTATATCAATTATGAAAGACTCCTGAGACGTCCGCAGAAGGCAACTAAAAATTACTCCTGAAAGCTCATCGTAGTATATTCTCATGACCTCCCTTCAAAAGGGACCACTTTGTATGAGCCAAACTGCAGTGTATAGTACCGTCTCGCTAGACGACACCTCACCATTAGGGGAATCAAAGTGGGCCCATCCTCCATCCTAGCGATTGGATCGAGAATCGCTGCTGAAGGTGCGACAATCGCAGGTGGTTTGGTTTCCACGGTCTGGTCGATTTGGTTCATGTGTTCAGCAATCCAGACGAGGACCAAGTGCCGGACAACAGAAGTGATAAAATCACCTTGTGTTTCACGCAAAGGTTTATTGAGACCAGCCATGAACAGACCAGCAAGAACACGGACCATCAAGTCGCGGTCCAAATCTGTTCAAGGGAATGAAAACAAACCTATGATAATAACGATCCAAATCGGACAATTAAGGGATAAACAATAAGTGGGGCGACTGAAATTGGGGAAAGGTTCGCCATGATTTGACTGATACTACTGCTACTGACGATACTACTAAGAGTTTGGATTGGGTGACCGTCTGACCTTACCATAAGACAACCTATAGATGTTGGTATAAAAATCAAAAACTGACAGTAAAAATGCATTTAGCAACCGGTTTACTGTCCACCTAGAGACGATAAGGTATCGTTGTTTAACGTCCCACCTGATGATAACAAATAGACTGCTAGAGATGAAAATTATGGGCACAACTACACGGAGTTAAGTCGGCAACGCGTCTTTTCTAACTATTTGTGTGGCAGTTCAAGTATTGTTGGTTTATAATCACACAATCTTTCATGCGATGACTCGAAACCGGTGGGTCAAAACTTACAGTAATATAGGCATGATTGCGCAGAGCTTTTATGCCTTCAGGAACCTCTCCAGCTTTCGTCAAATATAAAGAGGACCAGGGCGAAAAGAAAGCATAGTTACATAATTAGAACACTCACCTCCATCTATGCAACACGGAGCTTGAAATAACTCTCGATCAGAAGAAGATGCCCATTCATTGCACAGCACCTTTTGTACAAACATATCAACGGCACGCACAAACGAAGTCCCCTGAAGAAAGCTGTAAGGAGCGTCCAGCTGCAAGTTAAATCTGCCAGATCTGTTGTCCAAATCCAAAGATGCAATGCAGACAGACTGCAAAAACTCCCAAGAACGCACTTTTGTTGGTTGGTCAATATTGGAATCCTTCAAAGATAGCAAGAGAAAGAGAAATGTAAGCCGAAAAATACATGCGAGTTAATCCCACCGAGTTAGTCCCTCGATCAAACTCTTGTGCCAGAGCAGTTTGGTCTTGACCTACTGGCTAGGAGATTACTGCTTCGAACTCCCTTGAGATCCATAAGGTGCGCTACCTCTACTTATATCCTCGCAAGAACCACAAGCTCCCAAACAAAGAAGGGTATGCCTTGCAACACAGGGAGTTTTCAGACAGCCCATGGTTTCTTGTAAGAGCTACGAGGTAGTTCATGGTTTAATTTAGAGGAAACAAGGCAATCTAGAAACAATAACTGTCAGTATCACGAAAAGAGACGCCAAAGCATCTACATTTACAATATGTAATTATAAATAAAAAGTTGAACACCAATACTGGGTCATCAAAGTATTTCCAAGCTTCCATTGAAAGTGGATTACACGTGATTTGAACTGATTAACCGAGCAAGGGACGCATTTGCTTACTTACTTAGAGGCATCGGACAGATAAGTTTTCTTTGAGAGACGCAGAAGGCAGCGCACTGTATTTTGACACCTTACAGGTAGAATACCCTAAGGATTCCAGACCAAGAAGCAACGCATAGAAGTGACTGTGTATGCTAGTCTTCTGTCCTCCTACCAAAAAATACTTTCCACATAGAAGACTAATCGATAAGGTAGACAGTTGCAAAACGGCAAGACAGAGCCAGAAAGTTGAACTGGGGAGGGGGGCGTGAATGGTCTAACCTGTAGCACTTCGATAGCAGCGTCGACTAACGAACGAAGTGGCAAATCAATTGGTTGGTTTTTGTATTCATTAAGAAATAGTCGCAACTCCGGTCCGGTTTCACCCTCAGCCGGATCGAGCCTCAATCTTCGAACTTCAGACAAGTTGGTCCGATTGAAACGGCCTAATTTTCCTAGAACCTGAAAGAATGGAAGGGAAATTAAAATAGAAGGAACGCTCAATGAAGGTGAAGAATTATAGAACCGGAGAAAATCCAGCCAAGTAAAGCTTTGTACACATTGAGTGGTAGCACGTTCGTTTCGAATGCGGGATATCCGGAATTTAGATGCCGACAAGACCAGGGATAGCCCCAATGAAAACAAAACTCAAGTTCAGTACTTCCGCTCTTTGGTGTAGACTCACCAGGATGATAGCTTGAACTCGGAGCAAACAGGTAGGGCAAAGGTGGATTCAGTGGATGGCTTGTGACACCAGTGAGAAACGTGAAAAAGAATTCATTGGATAAACTTCGAACAAGCACCAGAGCACACGCTTGTGCGAAACCGACCAAGACATTGATTGAGGTTCAATTGCACCAAGAGGTGTTTTACAAAATACCAGCATAGAATTTTTATTGAAACGTCTCGGAAAGATAAAGGAAGGATAAGAACCCAACGGTGGAGGATGTAAGCTATAAAAATATGGATGGTAAGAGGCGAAAAACGCTCTTAGCCTGACCGAATAGAAGACTAAACGTGGAACTCTACCAAGAAGAATCAGGATGTGACGGAACCAACCAATTTCACGTAGAAAGGCCATATGTAGACTGCTCATAGCGTGTAGGTCGAGAACGATTATGATGGAAATAGGGAGGACGATGGCCAGTGGTTATTTTAGCCATGACGGAGAAGTTTCTTGGTGTTTGGGAACCAACTAACCAACTCATTCAGTACCGTTTGCAACTGCTGGTGTGCTCTATAGTCACATTTAACCACCTTGTCACCTGCACTCGACAGTAGAATGAAGAATAAGTATGTCCCTTGCGTGCAAAGGTAGTAAAAAAGGAGAACAAATGTCACTTTAGTAGGTAATGAAGAAGTTGGTCACCAGCATTTACAAGTGGCTTCCGGTCGATAAAAACACTCCTTAAATAGCTTTGCCAGGACCGGGGAAAACGGTGTGAAAACTGAAAACAGTACACAGTCAGGAATAAATGAGAGGGTTCAGTCAAGGGTTACTCACCTTGAACGATAGCTTTTGAACATACTCGCTGGATGAGTGGAGTGAATTGTACAGAGCTAATAACATATCACCGCGCACTTGATGCAAATGTTCATGGAGAAAATCCGGTTGCATGTTGTCAACACAAAGTTCAAGTGTTCGGAGACCCTGTAGAAAGCAAACAACGAGAAAGTGTTATGGACAGTCGATTTTTGTCGAACTGAGCAAGTCGTGAAAATATCCGTCAACTTGTATCCCAAATCTAACCAGCACTTTCAGGTATGAGTTGGCCAGTCGTACTAGTGATACTACTGAGGAGGCATGCGAGTAGAATGCGTTGTTCGTGAAATTTCGCTTTGCGTCTCTTGAAAAGGGGAGATCTGTTGCGGAATTTGTGGAGTCAATGAATATCCAGGAAAGTTCAAGGAGACGCGTTCAGGAGAAGATGGATGTTCAGTTTTTGTAAGTAAGATGCAAATGAGAGTTTTGCATCCCTGTCCAATGGTCTGTCACCGCTCAGTTGGCATTTTATAATAAATGACTCCGCAGCGAAGGCCTTCTTCCTTTCACTAGTATGCACCGAAGATAACCTCTTCCTATGTATAATAATTATTAACAAAACAGAACAGGACGCACCGAGGAGGAACGGTTAGAACTTATCCAACCTGGAGGGAAGCCCCCAAACGGAGCAATCGACCATTTTAATGTGACAGACCAATGAAACTGAGTTTGAAATTCAAACTACGATAAGGGAAGCGAAGCACTGATGTTGAATACTGATGTTATGCTGTCGATGATTATCGTGTCATGTCAGCTTATATTTCGTATTACCATGTCAATCTGGTCTGGTTTCTCAAACAACAAGTGATAAACATTCAACAAGGGACCTAAAGTTGCAGTTCGTTCGCTGAATCTCGTTAGCTGACACTAACACTCTGTTATAAGTTTCCTGGTCCGAAAATCAGCATGCGTTTGCTTGCCACTCGATTGCTGGTCTTCGGGTTCACCATTAGGTTAACAGAACCATGAAGTTGTAAATTTGGATTGACTGATGAACCAGCGTTGAAATGCTGGTTCAATGATGTACAGATACACTGGAACGCAGGAGGATGAACCTTGTTGAGAGAAAAGTACAGGATCTACAGAAACGTCTTCGGAAAAGAGTAAGTGGAAAGTGCCCCGGCTTCAGTTTTTTTAGTGGAACGTCAACGTCTACATCAAGTGAGCAATATTCCGACGAAAATAAGCGATCTTCATCCCACCTCTGACAGACATCGTTCAGCTGTAGCACCATTTCAGTGCTATGCCAGCAGAAGGAAGCGCGAGGGCTGGGATACTGCTAAGTTGCCCAAGCGCAGACAGGGAAGTCAAGAGGCAGGGTTCGGTTTGGAACCAAGGACCCTCCGTCAGTAATCTAACCACTGAGCCACGACAGACGAGAAAACATTTTTCACGACGTGACCGTATAGGAACCTGAGATTAATGCCCGGAGTACCATCAACACAACAGAGTTCTTACCGAACAATTGTACGTGATCACCGAGTAGACCAGAGGAATTAGATTAACCATTCAATACACACTCTCTTGATATGGCGTATAACACACAAGTTCGGCGGCTAAACCTTTGAAAGAAAGGTTCAGTTATCTAACTTATTGAGCAACAACAGGAATGCGAGCCAAAGGAAACTAGAATAGCTAAACTCAGCTTTTGGACATCCTGACTGAGCAGAGGTAGACTGAAGCCAACTGCCATGTTAAACCACATTCACTGAAGAGTATTCGTTAGGCCAAAATTGTCGAAAGTTTCCGGTCTCTTGTCTTTCTTAGGGGGGGGGGGGTCGTGGGCATTTTGCTCATCAGTTCAACGGCGAAATTCGTGGGAACAGGGCAAAATGGTCTCCTTAAATGGATAGGTCCATATTCAGAGGGAACTTATTGGAGGAGCGAAGTAGTCCGTGCATTTCAATTAATACGAAACAGAAGGTCTAATGAGGGATCGTTTGTACAAAGTTTCAGTTATTACAACCAGTGAGTAGCACATGCTGACTCATACGACAGTTAAAAAAGCGGCATCCACACCAAACTAGCGGACCAAAATCCAACGTTGTATGAGGCACGGTCACAAAAGATATTCCAGAAAACTAACCTGGTTTACGGTGTTGCAGTTCAACACGTAGATCAGCGGTTCCATGAGTAGGGATAAATAGGGCAGCAACGTAGAAAGACGTACTGGGACGATCACACACAATTCACCGAGTAGATCACGCGCATTGGCATGATGCGGAGAACGGAGTAAACGATTCAAAGTAGACAACATCTCTGGAAGAAGCGGGAAGAATTCCCGGTATAGTTTGTCATGTGCGCCACCTCCAATAGATCGGAACAGGGTTCGAAGGAGAGTCAAATAAGCAGTAGGCTCGTTTGCGGTTAAGCTACACTGCATACTGCCTTGGACGATCCGGCGCAAATGGAGCTGCAGCAAAAGGTCAGTACATTTGCGGGAATGAACAAATCGTTCAGATTTCACATCAAACTAATAGCAACTTCGCCGTGTTCAGTCAGAGTGTCTGCGTTTCTGAGACAGTTTCTACAAGATAGTCTTGCTTACACGACTGATAGCTGTATACACAGCTTACAGCCAACAACCTACCGCAAGAAAAACCATGGCGCATGAGGAAGACTGATCGACAACTGATCGGATGCACAGGGACCTCTGAAGGTCTCGGTTCCTACGGTTCATGATGCAGAAATAAGCACTATTCAGCCACAGTACCCACCTGTGCACTTTTCACGTTAAGAAGACCCAACAGAACTCAAATACTATATCGAAATAATCACTGAGGTCAGTAGGCACTCAACGGAAGCCCTCGAGTGAAAAGCCTGACCACAAAGCAGCGCTGTTTAGCGGGAAATGCAAGTGCATTTCAATTTTCACAGAGCAAGTCGCCACGCATGTTCCAAACCTCAACCAGAAGAACAAGGAGACTGTCTCTAAGCATCAACCAACCTCGTATGAGACCCTGCGAGTGCCGTGCTGGCAACCTGTCAGTATAGCTCAATGGGTCATGGAGGCAAACAAACCGACACATCACGCCAAGGTCCACTAGCTTTGCGACAGTCAACCCCTTGCAAGTTTTGACGACAAGGATACCTTTACGCGATTACACGCCCGAAATCTATAGCACTCAATTTAACAAGTTTGCTCATTCCAGCTTGTCAAGTTAGACATCCACCCACTGATTGGACACAGAGTCATTGACCTGATTTCGGAAATACCACCTTCACGAAACCCTAAATATGTCGTTGATTGGTAGAAAAAACTCCATTTCAAGGGTAAACAGTTGCTCTAAACACCTCACATAATCAAGCTTGTTGTGACCTTGAATTGCGAAACCCAATTTCGCGAATTTTAGTTCGCTGAACAGAGAATGACCAAGAATTCATCGGTACAGGCTACAAACTATAGCCCCGAAATATGCAGGAATGAAGATGTAAATTACGGGACCGAACGTTTGTCATCTCGTCTCTTCTCGACCTATTAAAAAGACAGTAGCTAATCTTTTATGACATGTCGCGAAAGTATGTCATTGGTAGAATCACAAACCGTAACATCTTCACAGTTCTCCGAAGACGTTCTCAGTTTTTTCCACAAACATGGGGTCATGTCAGCCAAACGTCCCATTAAGACCATTAGCAAGCGAATAAATCATGGACACTTTATATGGCACATTCGTTAAAATGCTAACTTCGCCGCCGACTGCACTAAAGACCTTGACGCCTGGATGTACGGAAACACAACAGTTAGCCAGTATCTGCAAGCCCCTTCAAAACAGAGTCCACTTAAAATAAAGAATGCAGAGATGGAACAGCACATGATGGTAGCTGAGATCTCCATCAAGGTAGTAGTCAGTTATTCGCTGAAATGTCATTGATACCAACGTGTCCAATCAAAAAGACAACCTGACATTACACAAAAACAACAAGCGAACACTGCTTTACCTTCATTACGTATTCATTCTCAGTTCCAGCCATGTTTACAGAGCTGAAACACAGTTTCAAAAGCCGCATATAAAGCGCTGACTCGTCAGTTCCATCTGAAGCAATGGGGAAACATTGATGGGAAAAATGAGCCGAATAAGAGAACGAGTATGCATAGGACAGACTGACAATGATTGAACATGTGGGCTGATGTGTTGCAGCGAAATTAAGTTACACGAAAATGACCGATCAAGTATCATTCAGTGTACATCCATCCACTCTAACCAAACCAGTTTTGTGGTCTGTTCGACTATTCGATGCAGGAGCTTCTGTTTCTTGGTGGTGGAAACTAATAAACCAATCAACTAGGGCTATGGTAACTGTCAATAAAATGAGATCCCGAACCGATTTATCAAGATGGAAGTTCATACCCCCCAATCATCGATGGACGAACTTGTGGCAGGTAGAACCACTGAGAAGGGCAGAGAACCACAGAGAACGCATGGGGTGATCTTATTCGTAAATTTCAGGGAAATGTGAAGAAACCGAAAGGATGTAGATAACTAATTACTGAAATATGCAAGTAGCATGCTGTCACGCACACTAAAAATATGAACAACACACGAAGGGCTTACCACCTAACCGATCCAAACGGTCGACCAAATAAGAGAGTAGGATGTGCCCGAAGATTGATGTTTTATTCGGTTGAGACAAAAGATGCAAAGCCATATTCGTGTAAGATGGACTCTGACGACACCACATCACAAAGTCCTGAAAGATGAAGATGAAAAAACAGGTATATTCAAAGAGTTCATAATGTTTTGTAGCTGAAAGCGTGTTTAAAAGGCTAGGGAAAGTTGAGAATTGACAATATACTTAATGGGCAATAACCAATAAAAGGTTCCGCGAAAAGACCTCAACACATGGTAAGCTAGACCACCTGGTATAACTAACTAGACTATACAAAGTTTAATCAGGCTCGAGAACTTTGGGTGCCGGTACCACTACAAGCAACCATTTGTCAAACCTGAAGTAAGTTATAAACACTGAAAACACAATGATCTGTGCGGAGAAGTCAATTGGAACAATAATATCAGTGTACACAACAAAAGAGACAAGAAAAAGTACGGGACTTTTCTCGAACGTTGGATCATACCGAAAGAAAACTGATAATTATGGCATATATTCACAAAAAATCCAAGTGCATAACAACGCGACACTGGCCGTTTATCTGGGCTAGTCAAACAGGCGGTCGACGGTGCCGCGATGCAGCCTGACGACCGTGTCACTTCTTTCCGGTTAGGTCGACTTGCTTGCAATCGACGGTGTTTTCTTGCTCTTTTGTGGTTCGTTCACGTGTCTGTGACCTTACCACCATATTATCACGAACAAACCTAAAAGATTCGGATTCAGTGAAACCCTTCACCTTAACCAAACAACGAACAACTAGCAAGGCTATACGCGCAACTTACCAGAATGGAAAAACTGAATCCAATTAGCCGGTCCAATGATATACGGATCACTTCAACCGGTCCAGAACAATGAAGTAACAGCCGGACTGCGTTAATAAACAATCGAACCGTGTAATTCACACAGCCCATCCTGAGCCTGGATGTGTAGCGATGCAGGTTGTAGAAGACTACGCAATCCGTAGGTTCATTTTCTGAACCAAAACTGTTTCATAGTTACTAAAATTTAGGAGCCACCCAGTCGGAGGACTTGATATGCGGAAGGTAAGAACCCCGAATTCCTAACCAAATGGGTTGGCTTCGATGTACCTAGCGAGGTTCAAGAGATGGACCACACTGAATCTAATCGGACAGTGTGATAATTTCCCCATCTCTCATTTACCGACTCTACCTTTGTGTTTATCGATTTTCAGCTGTTTTTGTCCGAATTGTCGCAACCTTCATGCTCGTCGTTGACCGTCCGACGCATGCACCCACCTATTAGTTCGCAATTGTCCTCCCTTTGTTCGGCTTGATCTCGTTCTCCCGCCAACGACACCCGGGTCGTCAAACCGCCAATCATGAAGCTGATCCAGGACAACACGACCCATACTACCGGGCTACGATTCCGCTTGCCGTAATCTGTTGTGCAGAAGGTGAAACTGCGCAGTACCGAACACCAATAAGCTTACGTACTTGTTATTAACTCTTCGAACGTGGACAATGGGTTTTTCGTATACACTTGATCAACCGTCTGTAGTACATTCTGATGTTCGGGATCGTCTAACCTACGGGCGTATCCGTATGCACAGCTAGACAAACTAGGGTGAAGACACTGACGATCATTCGGTTGGACTTTTCGGAAACCAACCACATTTCTGCTGAAACATTGGAGTGCGCCGAAGCCCAAAGTTTATTAGCTGAAGACATAATCCAAAAACAAACCAGAAGTGGGAATAAGTGAAGTAAAAACACAAAGGTGTGAGCAGTAAGCAGCATAAGCAGTGAAACTCACGTGAATTTTATTGGAAAATATTTCTTGAAAAGACACTGGACTCAGCTGTGCGAAGGTCAAGGCAAACGTCTCAATGAGAATACGCTCGTCGGGGGACTTCACACTGGGGTGGCTGTCCGAAACGGGGCAACAAGGACAATGGATAACTTTGGGAGAGATATACAAAATGACCGGGTAATAAATTATCAAAATGAACCAGGCTGACAACATTAAATTTGAACACGCATACGAGTAACTGAAGCGCGTGGTGTTGCGATCAGTAGCCTCAGGTTCCCAAAGAATGTGCGAAACTCATTGTCCACTTAGGATTCAGAATAGGTCCAGTGAAAATAAAACCACTTTCTCCAGTTTTGAACAATGGATTACAATTCAACGATGGATGTGAGGTGGAATTGCTTGTACTTGGAAAAGATGCGTCCTTCAGTTCTTTTGAGTTTTCCCTGGGTAGACATGACTCTTCAGGCCCAAAATAAAAGTCAGAAATATGGACTATGAAAGTCTAGCTGGAAAATGCCTCTAGTACCACAGGCTTCAACCGATGAAAAATGTTTCTCCCAATCTGAGTCGTCCGAAGATAGTATTATCATTCCTACCCAACTTAGCGTTGTGCAATACTGGGGCAAAGAGTTTCGAAGTGAGTGAGTGTTTTACTCGCATTCTAACATACCCTATGTTCAAGTGGCCCAGGATACTTCATTACCATCATCAATGGCAACAGCAACATTTGTTCAAACTGATATTAGTTGTTCTCTAATCACTGGAGGTCTATTTTGAAGAATTCGAAAGTGGACAGAGTAAAAGAAGAAAGGGAAAGGAGCTGGCGCTGTCCTACTGATTTAGATAGCCTGAACAACAATTGAAAGCATGGAAGTTGTTGAAATGGGAGGGCAGTCATATGTTGCAGGGTCTTCGGCCAAACGCCAGGAAATTCACGAGAATCTCATTCCGAAAAGGTAATTGTATCCACAATAGCCAAACCTTTCGTAAACTTCCTGTAACGTGTATGCTTCTCCAGTGCCACCTCAGACAGGTCTGAGCGATGAAAAGGCGTGAGTAGCGCAGGACGCGATCATGACAAACTATGCTAGTTGGCATCGTGTGGAGCCAACACACACGTTGTTCAAACGAAAATACGTCACGTTACACCACAACACCAATTTCAAACCAAGAAGTATGGGGAACATCCGATACTCCGAGCACAGAGGCCACTTCAGCTGCTTTCAGGGCTAGCATCATTAATCGAGTAAAAAACAAACCACGACTTCCGGTACCGCTCCTTGGCATAGAAAATACGTTGGGGACTCCCCGTAGACTTGCACGCATCCAAGCTCATGCGAACATACGGGAATGGATTCGCCCACAATTTTTGCAGTATCCATTGAACCAGTGTTTTCCGAAGGAGCTTTAAGTCTACGGAGCTCACTATATCCCTAAGCTCAACAAACAAAGCTTATAGGCCCTGTACACATATGGTCTGGAAAGGTATGATCACTAGAAGCTCGGTTGTTGTTCACGGAAAAGGGCCTCATGAATCTGAAAAATTTTCGACCAGATAAACTTCAGAGAGACATAACGAAACCTTTTAGACCGGTTCGTATATTACAAAAGCCATGGGGTTCACGTGGAGAAAGTGGTACAATACTAACCTTCGAATGAACAGCTTTCCATCTCGTACAATTATCTGCACTACTGCAATCATTCGGGTCCCATAGTCAAAGTACTCGGTCAGAACGATCAACTCGTCCGGGCTGAGGATACGCGAAGAGGAGGCTGCAACAACAGTTTTGGGTGTGTGTGCGGACGGTGCACTGGGATGTGTGCCGTAAGGAGAACCTTTTGGGCACTGAATCATGCTGGTCACGATGGTGCGTATACCAGTCATTAGGGCCTTGATCAGAGAACGCAAATCCATATGGCTCAATTGTCCCTTGGATGGATGCTCTGCCAATGGGGACTGAGAATAAATGTAATTGGAAATTAGCATGCGAAATGATAAAAGTCGCATGAATATCTTATCAGAGAAAGACAGGTTCTACGTCGGCAGTGAGCATACAGCAACATTGTTGAAAACAATGTGCCACATATGTTAGTTCGACTCAAGTAAGTTTCGGAAAATAACTAAAGTCGTCTCGATCACCTGACAAACCCAGTACTACTTGCGTTAGACTGAAATCTGAATTCACATTGAGCTTAGACATTTGAACTTATCTGTAATTCGTTAGATGTTAGCCAAGTGAGACACCTAACGAGGGAATTAGGAAGCGGGTGTTCAGTTGTACAACGGGGACAACAATCGAAGGTGTCCAATACAAGAGACTGCATTGGTTAGGCCATGTATCGCGCATGCCGAACCATCATTTGCCAAAGAGTGCTGCTTTTCGTGCCTAATTCTGAGTGGCGCAAGCAGACCCCTGTTCATCTTCTGAAGGCTTCGGGAATCTTCTGGCAAGCACGTTCGTTCACGTCCTTTCCAACAATCAGAAGGAGCAGAGGTGAAAACTGAAAATACATACAATTTTTCGTCCTGATCTTGTGTATTTTTCCTATTTTCACTGGAGCTGGAGCTGGGGGTTACCGCACATAAATACAGATCGAAATCACCTCGATGCAAAATCCGGAAACTGCATTTGCATACCAATTTAGTTTTGACTGGAGATTCATCAGTAGGCTAGCTGAACCTTTTGTTTATGATGCTTTTATTCGAAAGGAGTGACAAAGGAGTGACACAGGCACGAAATTGTATTTTGTTGGCATTGTAGGCTCACGAAGAAGCTAAAATTAAGATGTCTGGCTAGCTGGTGTCGTAGTCGAATGGAGATCGCTTAAGGTGAATGACGCAATGGGACAGGAACTGAATGGGTCTGGTGATTTGAGATTGCAGCTTTCTATTCGAGTCTCACTTTAAAAAAGCTGCCTCCACTTTGAAGACGAAACAACACTATTCGCAGTTCCAGTCGCAACAACTCCAACTCGGTAATCTATCGAAGATGGTGGTAGAATTATCCAAAGTGGATTTAACTGTGTTGAGCCAGGTCACGACAACGCCAAAGTGAACACGTTCAAGGGCCGACTGGGTGATCTTCATAGAAGCTAGCCAAACCATTGAGTTCAGTTAAGTTAGAACCCACAAAACTCGACTCTTTCGCGTCACAAAAGCGATTGCTGTCGACCTGCCGGGGGGTATATCACGCCAAGAAACAGCGAATACTCTTCTCAGAAGCCCGTACTTGACACTGTCTGTGGGAGCTGGTTAACCCTAATTTCAAAATAAGCACGGCAGGGACGCTGACCAGCTCGGTGGGAATCACCAACAGTGACGACGTCGATGATAGTAAGGTGTCATTTGCAAGGACCCAGCTAGTTTATGGGCTTGTAGATCAAAGGCTGCAGATGCATCAGGTATAAAATATCCGCGACATAGTGGGCACGAAAAGGGTCGAGTAGACTGTGCACTGTGTGACATCTAGGAAAACAGATGATAACTACTTTCACACGGATCTGATGGTGTTACGGTGACGATCGTTTAACGACTGTGCAACGAGAATTTTCGAGTGACTCACATTTCCTGAACCAAGGTGTAAGTTTCACTTGCGTGGACTTTACCCTAAATTTCTGCAGCGTTTTTTTAGAGCCAAACAATATTCTGAGACCCCAAAAGCTACCGAGGTAAATAACCTTAGAAATATGCTGCGGCTGCTGGGTAGCTTTAATTGAAAAGTCGCAAACACAAAATCCCGTAAAACAATCAAATTAGAAAAAATGTTTACATGTAACCCGTTCAGTGCCTAGCTGCCATGCAACCCAAAGGAAGTAGAGGGCTGGGATACTGCCAGGTTGCCCAAGCCTAGACAGTAGAAGTCGACATGCAGATGTCGGGTTCGAGGGACGGACCTTCCAAACAGTAAATTTGCGCTCTAACCACTGAGCCATCTCACACCATAAAACAAAACATCTTAGCAACAGTTCAGATCCTCTGCCGTGCACAAACAGATTGGCAAATTCGTGTGGTTTGGTCGGAAGTTCACACACGCACGATGTTCAAAATTGAAAACATCATTAGCAGAGGGCTCAGTGGTTAAAGCGCCAATTCACTGACCAGAAGTTCCGTGGTTTGAACCCAATCTCTGCATCCTGACTGCTTCTGGGCAACCTGGAAGTATTTTGGCCCTTGTTCTTCCCTCGGATGGCATGGCAGTTAGGCGATGATAGGGTGCTACGGCTAAACCACTAGTATTTCATTACTTCAATACATCCGCTGTGTAATCAAAATATATGAACGGCAGCAAATAGGGCGAGTAGCGCCCACACACGTGACTGTCTCATCATGACCAAGTGAACAGTCACTTGAAGGTTGACTGCACATCGATTGATACTAGTCAACCTTGTACTTTCTGTTCCTGTGGTTACGATTACTCTGTTCTGATGAAAGCCACTCACGGTAATCGTTGAATTATTGAAAACGCTATATTTATCATTTTTTCACCACTGACTAACCTAACTAGAGATTCATTCCCGAGCAGGATGATAGGTGCACTGGGGATATCATCTGCATAAAATCTCCCCGTTACTCGGCTGGAAGTGGAACTTCGTACAAGTGGCACGAAGACAAATAATGGGCATGCATAAAACGTAAGTATTCTCATAATACCTCATAAGTTACTGAGTCCGGTATAGCCTTACCCGGTAGTTGTGATATCTAGGTAACGTTTTCGACAGTTTTGTTCTCCCACGAGGTCGGGACTGTCAGTGCATGCACAATGCGTGCGAAAGGTAATCACTTCACGGCCAAATATGGTCGCAAACATGGCATTTTCGGGCACGGTATTATACGAACTTAATGTTCAACTATAAGTAACCTTCGTAAACAAAAGAGAATAGAGACACGAACCACCGCTGGGAGGAGTATCACTCCCGATGCACCAGAACTTGATACGACTGCTCATCACGTGTCTTCTTATGCCCGTCACTGAATCAACCTGGGGATCTTGGGCTATTGTCTATCCCGAAGTTGTTAACCTCAACCGTCCTATTAATCTGTTTTGATCAGTATTATTGCAATTTGTAACTATCAGCGCCCCATTAGTGTTGTACGTGAGGGACTGCCCAAAAGACATGATACGTCCGTTGGTGAAATCCCAACCCGTCGACCTTAATCGACTACTGTTATTAAGTCTTTTTCACCGTAAAAAGAATGGACATACTGAGTAAGTATGAACGGATAGCTGCTCATGTGCGTTTCGAATAAATCAGCTTAGAATATCGGCTAAATATCCAGTGTACTGAGCGAAGGTACGCACAGCAGTCGAGTAGTACCGAATGAATCCTAAGGGAAAACAAAACTCACGGTACGTGATTTATTCACGTCGCCGGAGGGAGCATTAGTATTCTTCAGACCGTCAGTGGATGAGTTCGCAGTTATGCTTACACCCCCACAGTCCGAAGTATCCATGTTGATTACACCACCTGTAGCAGTTGGAGTAGCAGACAGACGATGCTTTGGTCGATCGCCACCATTTTCCTCGCTTGTTTCCGGTATACTGTGAGGATACGTAGTGGTTTGGTACAAGAAAATCGTTAAGATTCGACAAACATGACTGTGAGGAACATATCTTTCTGGTACCACAGAAAACCAAAAGCTGCATAAATTTACTAAGAAAGAAACCGTCTCTTTTTTGTCAATCGTTTAAAATTGAGTGAAGCATGCATTGTGGTTACCACCCACCACAAGAGCTTCTTCTGCTAAATTCTGTAAATAGGATGAGAAGCAATGCCAGCCAAAAAAAATGCAACCAATGTGCGAAGCCACAATCCGAGTACTTGAAACATCAAAGCATTTAACTTCCAATGAAAGAGGATAGCAGCATACGTGCAAAACTGATGTAGCACCCGACACCTTTTGAGATGTCATCTTAATGAGCCATTTTGTTGGCTGGATTCACACAATTTATTATTATTATTTCTTACCTGGAGGCACTATTCAAGCCGGAACGCAAGAAAGCTACACAAACTTCGCTTATCGATCATGGTCAAGGTGCAAACTAAATTGAACACAGTTGCGACCACCAAATTAATATATATGCGCCGTATGTATCGTATTATGCGTGCATCATACATACATACATTATACATACATATACATCTCATATACTTAATGTCTTCCACATGCTCTGTGAACCAGTCATTCTGTTCCATCCATAAGCCAGGTAAGACAGTCAGGATCGAGTGCTATGCTTCCCTTCAGAAGTTTGATTTTGTTCTTAACCACACCTTCTGCAACACAGCCTCTGGGGACAATTCGTATGAGCGTATGAAGAAAACACAAGATACCTGTAATGAAAAGTAGGAAGGTACCAGGAGAGGACGGTGTGTCTCTAGTCCTGTTCAAGGAAGGCGGAAAATCCCCGGGGACCCATTTAACAAAGCTGACTGATGCGATATGGATTGAAGAGAGTACCTGCGGAGCGCGGCACTTCGACAGTTATTCTTGTCATCAAACGGGGACAGTTGAATACTGCACGACACCACGGTGGAATCAACCTTATAGCTGTGTTCTTTGGTCTTATCCTCCAAAGGTTGTTTGAACACAGAGAGAGACAGACCCATGAAAACCAAGCTGGGTTCCATCCAGCGAGAGGATGAATCGATAAGCCTATCACCCTCCATCAGATTCTGGAAAATGAAAAACGACATTGCTTCAAGCAACCAACAATGGTCTTCCTTGACTTGAAATCTGCCTCGGACTCTGTGGACCGCCCGGCACTATAGTGGTATCTAAGGAGCAAAGGTGTCCCCCGTGAATTTTTGACCCTCCTTCAGGAGCTGTACGCGAACTCCCGCGGACGTGCGAAGGTTTACGGGAAGCCCTGACCCGAGTTGGCCACATCACGTGGTCAGACAAGGCTGTCCTCTTCCACCTTTCCTCTGCAACTTCATGACTGACACGATTATGGAGGACTCACTATCAAACTTTCGAGCTCATAGTGCTCGAAATGGTATGAATGCGTTCGATATCGAGTACACAGACGGCACAGCGCTTCTTCAATCTGATGCCATCGTAATGCAAGCACTAATGAATAATCCAAATAATTCTGTCTCACGATTTAGAATGCGCTTCACTACTGCAAAGTGCTTCTCCAAGACTGGACGGGTTCGAACCCTAAATACATGATTGCCGATGAGCTAGGCTGGGCAACCTGGCAGTATCCCAGCCCTCGTGCTTCCTTCTGGTAGCATGGTAGTTAGACACTGAAAGAAGGCTACAGCTGAACGGTTTTTTGCTGGGCTTTCCCCAGCTTCAACTGATCGCGTTCAGTCGTTAGACTGTGGGTGGGGCGTCACCTCAGAAATCTTGCTGAATCGCATTGTCGTGCCAATGAAAGCGACTTCCTCAAATTGATCAAGGACGTGGATCGTCACGACATCAAATTTGAATTTGACTGTGGCCACATTTTAGGATGCACAGTTAAACAGCGAGTTAGTGGCGTTTCGGACCTCGAGCCGGTCTTCACTTCGCTGACCAGCCTGTTTTGCAGTCATAGATTACCTAGACAGCCTCTAAATAACTTCTTTGAGGACGACGTCAAGTAGGTTAGTGAAAAGTGCTATCTTCGGTGAACCGGAAACGAGCAACAACATAGGCACAAACCAGGGTTTGATTTGAGGCCTATGTGTTTCAAGAGGAGCGACACTCTTGATCGGTATCTATTGCCAATCGCTATAAACAGAGCTCCCTCAACTCTCGCAATCAATGCAATAATCACACCACAGCCGCATTAGGAGTCACACAGATGTGCCTTACTCTCTGCGTCCCGGGGCCAAGCCAGCACCCTGGGACAAGCTATCCAGACTAGCGTCACTGGCTCCGGGAAGGGTTCCTCAAGAAAACCCTAACTCGTGGTCCAGGCTTTTGAGTCAGAGTCTCAAGGTGCGGTGCCACAACTGAACCCACTTCCCTAACCTGGGCAGTCACACAGATGTGCCTTACTCTCTGCGTCCCGAGGCCAAGCCAGCACCCTGCGACAAGCTATCCAGACTGGCGTCACTGGCTCCGGGAAGGGTTCCTCAAGAAAACCCTAACTCGTGGTTCAGGCTTTTGAGTCAGAGTCTCAAGGTGCGGTGCCACAAATGAACCCACTTCCCTAGCCTGGGCAACCATGAGAAGGATGTCTCCGCCGCTACAGCTTTTTCACGTACTAAATCCTGTCTTCACGTCATCCATCCAAGTCCTTCGGACTCATCTGGCCGCCAAGTACCTAACCGTCCTTTCGTATCTAAGCTCCTGTTCAGTGAAATAAAGCAAAATAAACCCGTATTAAATTGAAGAGAGCCGCCAATGAGGAAAATGCTGGTATCTAAGCTAGCGTAGTTGGTCGTTGGTTTGTTCTCCGAGCTGGGTAATTTGACTGCGAACCTTTCATCTGTTTCACCTTACTGCTTTTAACGTACGTACCATATGTCGAATTGGGCAAAAGGTAGCTCTTATTATTTCTATCGATTGAAATGTACGAACACAAGACCCCAGTTCGGTCACATCTCTTAAACAGCTCGGTACGAATCCAGATTTTTCGCAATTTATTCTTCGGGTGTCTGGTCATTCTGATGCAATGGCATGGGAGTTGTGCTTAGCCTGAGGGCTGAATGCAACTCACTGTACTGAATTCCAGTAGACAGTCGTCTTTGCGCTGTTAGGTTGACTGATTCAATCAAAATCAATTCATCTCGACGTGGTAAACGGTGTTCATTCATTGAGTCAGCATACAATTTGACAATAATTTCTATCGCGAGTTGTCACCGCTACTCCAGTCAGCGAGAAGTACAGATATCATGACTCTGACGGGTAATATGAATGTCCATGTTGGCCAAATAAGTCCTGATGAAGCTCATCTTGGTGTCTGATTTGGGGTTAACGTTCATCGCACAAATAATGGGGAGCAACTTCTTCAGCTATGTGCTGAGCACCATTTGTTATTGGTCCACAAAAGCGCTCACACCATGCGAGTTAGAGGTGACCAACTGCAAGCTGAGTCATGCACTCAGTTGGACCATGTGGCAGTCAGTTACCGATGGGGAGCTTCGACAGAAGGTTGTCGTCTGTTTTGGAACTTTGATGACCGGAAAGAGTATTTATTTGCCTCCCGTCTGGGACACGTCGGTTGATGCCCAGGGATCTCGTTTTTAGGTATGGTTTCTTTGCTGTTTTCACATGAAAAATTGGAAATCGCCAAAAAATTTCGTGCTTTGACGTGTTTCTTAGACGGAGGTAAAAAGGGGGTAGATCACTTGGACATGTTAATATGGATGGCCACCCTTATTCTGACAGTACATCTACTGCTGGGAAGCCAGAAATAGCTAGGAGACTGAGACATGATCTGATATTAACATGACTCCCATTCATCTCCTTAATTGTCTTCATCTAGATCCGGTGGACCACACAACAGGTCATTATACATACTTACACTTCGCGTGGCAGCTATCGATACAAAAGCTAGTTCATTCGGGTGGTCAATCTCCACGGATACGATGGACTGCACAAAAAACTTGTCGATAAAAGGATGGATCAAAGTACGGAAGAAACTTGGCCAACATTGTATTCTAATGTACACATCGTAGCACGTAACTACCAATCACCCAACTGAACTGAATGTATCCAGTAAGAGAGCCACCATTTTTATTCCACTCATATTCACACTCCGGTTAGGATAATCACGTATGCAGATAGTCAGGAAGTGGAAGTCAACTTCCATTGCAGCTACAGGGTGAACCACACAAGGTTAATAAAAATTGAAGAAATGCTAGGTTTCCACATTCGCATGAAGCTATCAGACAGAGACAGGCAGACAGAATAACAGTAACAAACAACGTACGCAGCCGGAGAATCGAAGTCGTAAAACATATTTGCAACCTAGTTCATCTGTGGATTGACCCATCATCAGGGCAAAAAAGACAACCGACTATACTAGCACGTTTGCAAGCCACATGATACACACGTTCGTGTGATTTAGCTTACCAGGACGATTCTAAAGCAGGCAAATAATGTTCCGCAACTATTCTTGCTTTCAAAACACACAAACGTAAAGTTTGCAGTAGCAAGTGTCGAGCCGTTCCGGAAGAGGTGCCCGATGCAACAGTTCCAGATGGTCCAGCGGTTGATGTAGCTGCAACGGTTCGCTGTCGCACACATTCGACCAAATTGAGTAGCAGTCGAAGACTCATTTGCTGGATGGAAAATGGCAGTGTATCATCATGCATGTTCCGACCATATAAATCAATAGCCCGAGCAATTTTGGCCAGACTCAAGTCGCTGCGAATATGGTGCGTCAAATCAGCCAAGGTGCTGTAGGCTAGTGGTCTGAAAGCATGCGTAAAAACCATGTGAGACGAGTACGAACAACGGGGAAAGTGAAAATACCATNAAATCGTAAACTCACCGAAGAGCGTCGCGGACCGTGTAGCCCTGCCCAATTAGGATATCTTCATTCATTAGTTCATCCAGAACCCCAAGAAACTCTAAAAAGAGGTGGGATGTTGGACAATCTAGCTGGCTGTGTTGGCAATTCGATCACGCTTAGAAACGTATGAAAAGCTAATCACTAGTGGTAAATAAAAAAATTGAGACCATGAGGACACGGTTACCTTGTTTCAACTCAAAAGTACGATCAATACCTTAAACAGACCCTTGGATTGGATGATTGTACGTCTTCCTTTAAGCACCAAACGACGTAAGCCTCGACTCCATGAAAGACGAAGCTCATCTTCGAAATGAACGAGCACATACACAAGGCCTATAACATGGGTGTCGTAATATTATCCGAGAGTGAACGATTCAGGTGGCCAGATCGAACCTAGAGACAGCAACCCAGATAGACATTCTACCGGTGTTCAACGCCATGGTAGTGGGCGTCGTCTGACACAACTAAATAAATAAATAAA